TCTTCTCTGTCAGAGCTGGACTTTTTTAAAAAGGCCTAGAATAGGAGAGTGGTAAAAGGAGGCGTGCCAGGCAGAGGCCTGCCTTGGCTGTACTGACCCACCTGAAGAAAGCAGGAAGCAGTGTTGTCTAGTCTGGCATCTTCTTCCTGTAAGCCCGAGGACTTGCTGTAGCCTTGATTTACCTTCTCGGACAGACTGAGAGTGTAGCCGTTGGAGGGTACATAGCAAAGCCATGGGTGATGAGCCGGAAAGGCTGACTCAGGGAAAGCAGTCTGCACCCTTGAGGGGTAGCATGTGGTTAGCAGCAGGAGCTGGCTTCACCCAGACCCTGTCAGCTACACCTTTTCTGTAGTACCCTAACCTAAGGTCTTAAGATAGGGCTTGAAAGGTTGTTTGTTTGTTTGCTTGCTTGTTTGTTTTTGCGATGCCACTAATCGAACCCAGGTCTCAGGCATGCTAGGCAGGTGCCCCACCATAAATTCCATGTACCCCAACACATGCACATGACGTTGTCTCATGTACCAAGAGCACTGCCTACAGATCAACTACAAGAATCTTCACCTGTGTACGTTGTGTGGGAGCACTGTGCTGGCTCCTTCCGTACAGTATCATAACTCCGTCAGACAGCTGGGAAGTCCCTCATGAAGTGTCATCTACACCGCACTGGTTCTGATAAAAGGTGCCTCTGCTTCTGCAGGCCTTGATGTCTGAGCTAGGTTAGCCCAGGCCCTTTCCTGCTGGAGCCAGGCCATTGAGGGCTGGACTCTTGTTTCTCCTCCAGGGCTCTGGGTCCTGCACAAGCTCACAGTAGACACAAATGTTCCACTGCTGCTGACTCTGCCCTGCCTAGGCTGGGCAGGGGCTGTGCAACTCCCAGGCTGGGGTGGGGGCGATGACTTCACCTAACATTCTCTTTGTCCTTCCCAGCTCATATGCTCAGTCTGACTGTTAGGGCCAGGAGCACTTGTGGGTTGGGTGGGGCTTTCTCACTCATGTTCTTGGGAACAGGGTTTCCTCTCATTTTCCTGATGAATTTCTTGGGGAAACCCTCTTCCTGTGTTTCCAGCGTTCTCCCCTTGCCAAGTCTTTCTTCCCCACTCCAGGAGGCTGTGTGAATATTTGACAAGCCACAGAGATCAGGGCCCAAAACATTTTTCTGGGCTGGATGAGTATTTGTGTGAAATTAAGGCTGCTGAGATCAGGGACTGAAAGCTTCTCTGGGACTGAAAGAATTGGAATGGAAAGTCCAAAATTGGGATTGGCTGGGCTCCCAGCCCCACATGGCTTTCCTGTGCAGCGCCACATGTCAGAGAGGATTCCCAAGGCTACTCTTGTGAAGAACCCCAACCTGCCCTGCCCTGCAAGGAACACTGGGAACTGGCACAGGGCGTGACTTCTTAAGGTAGCTCTTGCACATGCCCAGGGTGACTTAAGGTAGGGCAGATAGATAAGTAGAAAATGGCACGAAAAAGTAAATTTGTGATTTTGACGATATCTGGGCAAGAGCAGTCCTGACCTTTTATGGCTCCTATTATGTGTCTTGCTTCATTCGCTTGTGTCCCAGGAGACTCACTGAGCAGAATTCAGACCTCAGAGGAAGGGATGACACCAACCCTGAGGACAAAACAAAGTTAGCTGTTCACCCTCACTGGAGGCCATAGGAGTAGTGCTGGCTTACTCAGCTGCACAGCGGAAAGCAGCTTGCGAGCCCACCCCATGGTGCAGTAAGCAGGGTCAGCCTAGGAAACAAAAACTTCTATGCTAAACTCTGGCAAGTCCCAGAGAACTGGGACCAGTTGGTCACCCTTGAATGAAGCCTCAGCTCAGTGTAGTTGCTTCCATACTGCAGTCCTCTATGGGTGCCACTCACCAGCTCAAAGCATCTCATGTCCTCCCCAGGCCTTAGTTTTGCTTATATGTGAAATGGGGTTAATAGTAGCTGCCTCCTAGGGTTTTGGCTGTTTGAATGGAAAGCATGAATGCACCTCACTGGTGAAGTGTCAGGCACATGGTGATTATTTAAATGTTGGCAGTCTTACTTATTATTATTCATTCATTTAGTTCATTCAGCAAACTTGTATGTGCACATTGTTCCAGGCACCACTATAGGTCTGAAGAACAGAGACAAACCTTGTGGAGGGGGAGGGACAAAGAGTGTGATGAATCTTACTGCATGTTAGGTGAGAAGCTGCACTGGGAGGCAGCTGAGCAGGGTGAGAGCGATGGAGAGTGCTGTGCAGAGAAGTTGCCCTTTTAAATGTAAGGCTAGGCCCTCCTGAGGAGTGCACAGTGGCATTGAGATCCTGAGGAATGAGGGAGTGAGCCCGAGGCCACCATGAGGGATCTGAGCAAAGGCAGTGGCCTGTGCACAGCACTGAAGCAGAAGCGCATCCCTGTCCAGTGTGTAGGGAGAACAGGAGGAACAAGAGGAAATGGGAGCCAGTGGGCACCAGGCACTCACGCAGGGTCTTTTAGGCCACTTTATGGTCCTGGACCCAGTTTCACTTCAAGTTAAAGTCACAGAGGTTGTGTACATAGACTCTTTACAGACACTTTTTTGTTTTTGTTTTTGTTTTTGGTGAGAAGGGTTACTAGACCACTAGGGAGTCCTTTATTATTTAACTGATGTCCATTAACGCTCATGATGGTGTACTAACCACTTTTAAAGGCAGGAGGGCATCTCTTCCAACTACATTGCGAGCCTTGCTTCTATATAAAACATCCTAGCAAGTTACCAGAACTTCTGCTTCACCCAAGCAAACCTGGCCCTAATCCCACGCTGCGATGGCCCTGCCATCTTCTGTCTCTAGGAAAAGAAAGAACAGTAAAGCCCTGCCCCTGACTGCTCTGCCCCTGCCTGCCTGGGGACCCAGCACTGTGCCAAGAACACCCCTTTCCCAGGCCCTTGCTTTCCCTTCCTACAGGGAACCCAAATGCCGAGTGAACCACACAGAGGGCGTCAGGGCATTCAGGGAGGCAGTTCAACCTGCCTCTGGTACCTTGGCAGAGCGCGATCCCTCGCAGAGTTCAGCTGTGAGACCAGGCTGAGGTCCTTGTGCCCTGGGTGGAAGAGACCCTGGATGGCAACATTAGCACATGTTCCTAACCAACTTCCTGTCTCTCTCCTAATGATAGCAAGTGAAAGTGCCCCCACTTTGCCTGACCCGCTAAGTTCCTCTCCAGGCAGGCTCCTGAATACCTCCCTCATTCTAGAGCAGATACCATGAGACTGTAACTTATAGGCATCCCCTTTAAGTACATGAGTATCTAAGTAACATGCTACTTCTGAGGGGTTTCTTTGATGGGAATAGATGCCACGCCTGCCTGAGTGTCTTCCTAGGTCTCACCTGGTTCCCTCCTGTGGCCACCAAAGGTCCCATGGCTGGGTACTGTGCAGCAGAAACGGAGATGTTTGCCCTCACACCTTGCCCATGCCTTCCCTACCCATGGGGAGTGTGTGGACCGGGGGTGAAGGAGTCTCCTGGAGTCGCCGCCTCTATTTGACCTTGCAGCTCCTCCCAGTCATCTCCTGTACACGCAGCTCAGTGGAGTACCCCTTCCCAGCTGCTGAGTTTTTCCAAGACAGAAGTGCCCATGCCGCCTGTGGGGAAGGTATCAGACAGGCAGCCAGAAGTTTGCAGAAACTAGACTAGTTTGCCACCCTGTGTAAACAGTTTGATGAGTCCCAACGGTCTTTAACTGCCATGTTAGGATTCTCTCTCACTTTAATGAGTGTCCTTCTGGGGGCCAAGAAAGGGGCCTGAATGCTCAGGGAGGCATTAAGAATAGTTCTGCCTATCTTACTTACCTTTGAGAATGTACCTAGAATGTGTGTGGCATTGTGTGGTCATGTGTGTGCGGGTGTAGTATAAGTATGAGGTGCTTTTTGTGAGTGCAGTATGTGTCTGAAATGCAAATTGTGTGGGGTATGCCATGCATGTGTCTATGTGGGGGTGTGTTTGTATTGTTCATGTGGTATATGATATGTATGTGTCTATGTGGTGCATGATTTTTGTGTAATATGTATGTGGTGTGTGATGTGAGTGTGGTATGTCTCTATAAGCTGTGTCATGTGTGGTAAGTTTGTTTTCATGTGGTGTGGGGGGCGTGTATGGATGCAAGTATACAAGCACACAAACATGTTAGTGGGGAGGAGGCTGACAACCAAGAACTGTGTGGTATCTGGAAACTGAGTGACCTTCCCTTCCTTACCCTCTTTGTATCAACCTGAGTGGTAGCATTTCTCTTACTACCTATTTAATACCTACTTGACAGAGTAGTAGTACCACATAGTAGAGACATATGTACTTAAAGGGGATGCCCGTAAGTGACAGTCGCAAAGCCTCTGCTCCAGTGATCTACAGCTTCTAGAACTTGGAATCCTGACACATGAATGAGCTGTGCTCTATATGACCTTGAACAGGTCATTTTTTTTTCCTGGCCTTTATATATGAGCCAGAGGATTCACACTACGATGTATTCCAATCTACAGTAGACTTGGTATGTTAATATAAGAAAAAAAGTTCTGTATGCAACCCAAGAAACTTTTTTTTTTTTTTGAGATGGGAATCTTAAGTTGCTTGTGCTGTTCTTGAACTTGCAGTTCTTCTACCTCAGCTTCCCAAGTAGCTGGGAGTACAGGCATGCACCGCCATACCAAGTTCCCAAGGAGCATTTCAGCATTTATGTTCTTAGAGCTGGAGCCTGCAGCACACTCTGAGCAGCAGGTGAAACCGTATGCCTGCATTGGCTTATCTTGGCTACTAAGAGAACCCGGTGGCACCTATGCTAGGGCCACTTTGTCACACTTTGCCCATTGGTAAACCAAAAGCTGAGGAAAATCAGCATGGTTTTCCAGCCTAACTGATTTTCACAGTTGAGCAGGTCAGGAAACAAGGGGTCTTTTCAAATATGACTATTTTTTTAAGAGGCTTTTAACTGCTTCCTGTTTTCATCCCCCTTTTATTCTCATCCATTCAACACTCCTCTCTCCTTTTCAGGTCTTTCTGGGAACCCTGCTGACCTAGAGAAACGTAGACTCAAGTTTGGACGGAACTTCATACCCCCCAAAAAGTCCAAGACCTTCTTAGGATTAGTGTGGGAAGCCCTTCAAGATGTCACGCTCATCATCCTGGAGATCGCAGCCATCATCTCCCTCGTCCTGTCCTTCTATCGCCCCCCTGGTGGAAATAATGAAAGTGAGTGTTTGAATAGGTCTGCACAGCTCTGATCTGGGTTCTTCCCATTATTAACAAAGCTACTCTGCCTCGGTGGTTGACAGATAAGGACATAAATCTTCTTCCTTTCACCAGTGAGCTTTCTAAAAGAAACCAGCCTAGCAGCCAGTAAGCCAGCCGTTCATCTCACCTCCACTCCAGTTTCTTCCCCTACTCCCAGCAGATACCCACCTTCACTTACCAATGGGCTGGCATTAGGAAACCAGCAGTAAGAGCCTGACCATGCTGGGAATCATAAGTTTTTTACATATGACATGTATTGACATATTTCATACAGTTCAGTCATTTGCTTCTTTTAGGTTAATATAAATCAGCAGTATCAATAAAATTTTTTAAACGCACCAAAAAATATAGATAGATAAAATAATGGTGAGACCAGACTCAATACTGTTTTCTGATTTCCTTGGAGGGTAGCTCCTCTATCTAAGGGTTTTACTTTCTATTTTTCTCTTTCTCTGACTTCCCACCCTGTGGAAGCTGGGGGAGCACTGCCCTCCTTTCTTAATGTCATCAAGAGGCTCTTGGGGACTGTTTCTTTCCTTTCCCTGGATAGTATGTGGTGAAGCCGCAAGTACTCCAGAAGACGAAAATGAGGCCGAAGCTGGCTGGATCGAGGGGGCAGCCATCCTGTTCTCGGTGATCATAGTGGTATTGGTGACTGCCTTCAATGACTGGAGCAAAGAGAAACAGTTCCGGGGACTGCAGAGCCGTATTGAGCAGGAACAGAAGTTCTCCATCATCCGGAATGGTCAGCTCATCCAGCTCCCTGTGGCTGAGATCGTGGTGGGGGACATCGCCCAGGTCAAATACGGTAAGAGCCCTGTGTTTCTCCTGCCTCTGCCCACGGCCTCCCCAAGCACATGTGAGGATAGGGCCTTTGTCAAGAGGAGGTTGGGGACTGCTGAAAATCCAAAGAGATATGCCCTCGAGTTAGCATTTAAGGAGATTGTAGAAAGGAATTTTGAGGACAGTAATAGAAATTCTCCAACAGGCTGTCAGACTTACACATTATGTGTGTTGGAATTAAAAGTATATAATATTCAGGCTGTAGGAAGGTGATTGGGATCAATGATAGTTTGAATATATAATGCCTGAAGGAATTTTTTGATGGTTCAAAAGTTAGAACACAGGATCTTGTACATGCTAGGTACATCCCAGTCCAGGAGTTTTTAAAGGCTCTCCAGGTCCTGCCCTACAGAGAAGACCCAGGGAGCATCCCTGAAATGAGAGGCAGAGTGGGAGGCCCATCCACTCCCTGCCAGGCTCTGACCTGCTGTCCTGCACTGTCTGCCACCCCTCTGCGCTAGGTGACCTGCTGCCTGCAGATGGAATCCTGATCCAGGGAAACGACCTGAAGATTGATGAGAGCTCTCTGACAGGGGAGTCAGACCATGTCAGGAAGTCCCTGGACCAAGACCCCATGTTGCTCTCAGGTACAGCCCCCGCTACTACCCAGACAGCTAGGCCAGGAGCCCCAGACCTGCTTTCTGTTCTAGCTCTGTTCTGTCTCCTTCCCATGGGTTCAACTGAGGCAGTAGCATACAGAGATGTTGAGTACAGAGAATATCAGGCACCCTGAAAGAGATTTTTATGAAACAAGTGCTTTTAAGGTTGGAAAGGGCTCAGCTGTTGGGGGTTGGAGGGATGAAGGGAGGGCTTAGCCTAAAGCACTTATATTTCCCTTCCCTTCCAACCTTCAGTTTGGTCTGTTTTAAATGGATCCAGCACTTTACCTTTTCTTAACTCTCTGACAAGTGTGTCATTATCCATGGGCCAGGTTTTTTTTTTTTTTAATGCCTGGAGACAGGGTCTCATTATGCGGTTCAGGCTGCCTTCAACTCGTTATGTAGTCCAGGCTGGTCTTAAACTCACAGTGATCCTCCTGGCTCAGCCTCCCTGAGTGCTGGGATTGCAGGCATGAGCCACCATACCTGGCTAGGCATTACTTTTAAAATTTCTGTTTGACAGCCAATCATGGTAGGTATCAGAGAACAGCACTCCTTCCCATCCTCTCCTTTCCTGTGTAGGGACTCATGTGATGGAAGGTTCTGGCCGGATGGTGGTGACTGCTGTGGGGGTCAACTCCCAGACAGGAATCATCTTTACTCTCTTGGGGGCCAATGAGGATGATGAGGACGAAAAGAAGAAGAAAGGTAATAAGTGCTTGGGCATTTGGAATGAGCTCCTCTGTCTTTTCCTCCCCTTGGACAAACGAGAAGCAGTGTAGCAGATCTGGATGGGTAGCCTGGTTGGAAACCTCTGTTGGAATAAAGAAGGCAGATATCCAAACTCCTTGCCAAGATAGAGATGTAAACCTTGGCTGTTCAGGGAGCTCTGATGAAAACCAGGTCCTGGCTCAAGGCTCCCAAGTTGCTTTTGGGCCTAGATTCCTGTGTCGTTGGTGGGTTGTAGAGAGTTGAGGCAAACCCTGCTCACAGAGAGCCGGTAGGTTCGGCACCAAGTACCCTCTGCATACGCTGCCTCCCTCCTGCTTTTCTCATCAAGGTCAGGGGCGTTAAGTGAACTGTTGGAGTTAAGGGCAAACTGATCAGAAGGATGAAATGGATTCCGGCTGGAACTCTGGGCTCTTGGCAGAAGAGAGACACAGCTAGAAGAGTGGGGAGAGAGGTCATGTCCATCCCGAAGTTAGTCCAGTCTTTGCCATTCCCTTGCTCCTGAAGAACGGATATTAGGAGAAAGAGAAAAAGATTCTCTAACCAGATTATACCTCTCCCTAGCATTCCTTCTTCCCTTGGTGGGAGACACAAACGTCTACCACTTGGCCAGAGGATAATCTTGAGCTATCTAGTGGAGAGCAATGTACAGAAGGAAACAGAACATTCTCTCCAGACTGGACCATCATTTCCACAGCCACCTGCTGGAGGCTTGCCCAGTGCTGTTGAATTGACCGGAGACACCTTTCAGGTCCTTTGCCACTAAATAGGAAGCACTCCCACTTCTCCATTCCTGACCCCACCCTATTTCCCAAGAGCACCCTCCCTCCCAGCGGCACAAGAAAACCGCTCAGGTGTCAGCTTGCACACTTATCTGTGTAAGCACTCTGCTAGTGCCCCAGGGATTCATTAGAGCTTCCAGGAAGAGTAAGAGCAAAGATGTGAGCTTCCTTTATATTATTTATTGCCTTTCCCTGCAACCCACCTCCTCCTCTATAGCCCTTCTGGGCTCAGAGCAGACTCACAATTGCATATTCCATCTCTTAATAGTCACTCTGAGTCTCCACCCCACTTTTTTCTTTCTTCTTCAAACAGGTAAAAAACAAGGAGTCCCTGAAAATCGCAACAAAGGTAACCCCCCACACTCATTTGCCATCTCTACCTGCCCACACTCAAACCAGACCTTTCCAGGCCATTTGCCTTCTCTTTCTCTGCTTCATCGACTGTTATCTGCTGCTGTGGCCCAGATGGCTCATTTTGAGGAAGGTGCAGAGATCTGGGGTGGGGTCAGAGGCCTGGTCCCAGGCTATACGGGACAGCAGCGCCCTCTGCTGTTGGCTCTAGAACCTCACGTCGAGTTTCTCTCCAATGCCGGGGTTGTTGATCTGCTTTTCTCAGAGCAGTAAGCCTCTTCCTGATTTTCAGCACCTATTGTCATCAGTTTCTGGGTTGGGAAATTTCCAGGTGGAGGGGGTTGGGGTGGACAGTCCCTGCACCCTCCTCTTGCCAGCTTCTCATCAGTGTCCTCTTCTAGTCTGGATTCCTTCTCTGCTAGTCTTCTTGGGGTGCTTGGGGAGAGTCCTTTGTCTCTACCTCTCTCCCCACCTCTCTTTGTTCTTTCCACAGTCTGTCTTGTTGCTCGCGATCTGCTGTGTGTCTCTCTCTCTGGGTGACTGTGTCTGCATCCCGTCTCTGTCTTGTTTGTGAGTCTGACAGCAGAGACAGTATCTCAGGAAGAGCTTCTGAAGCAAAGGACTGAGCTTTGGGGCTCAGAGGCTTTTGGGGACCAGTGAGAATTGCTCTTGTGTGGCAGCACTTAGGCATTTTTTCCTTTTGTAACCCATGTTAATAGTAGTCTTTAGAAATACGTCCTGTTGGAGTACCAGGACTAGACCAAAATGATCCTTTAATTTTAACTGTCTTTAAATCTTCTTTGAAAAGCAAAGTAGATTTATATGTCTGTCTTTATCCCTGCTTTCTTTTATTCTGAGGGTCCCCACCTTCTTCCTCGCCTCCAAAGACTTAATCCTAGGTCCCACTCTGTATCTCCTGATCTTTTCAGACGGGGAGATTTCCTTCTCTAGTCCCTCACTTTGTAAAACAAGTAGCTAGAAAATACCTTAGGTACCAGGGTCTGTTTCTTGCCTGACAGTCCAGAGAGAGAGAGAAAGAGAGAGAGGTGAACCCTTTAACAGACAGCTAGGACCTGTATGCCCTGGAAACCTCTGCTAGTGGTTCCCTTCAGCCCCTTTCTGCAGTAAACATTCACTATTTAAGTGCTGAATTCCAGGAAGGATGGTTGCTGGTAATAGTCCTTAGTGGTATGATTAATCCACTAGCTGAAATAAACCTAGCCTAGGGCTCTAAGGTGGTGCCAGGAAGCTGCCACTGAAGAGGAAATCCAGACCCTAAAAGCACTCCCATTTCTTTATCAGTCAGTGGACTGTTGTTCCAAAGGCCCAGTAGAGGGTTGAAGGCAGGTTGTGCGTCTGGCGTGCTATAGAAGTGATCAGAACTGATGTCAGGGACCTAAGATGTATTCCAGGAAGAAGAGAAGGGTTTTTGATTTCCATCTACCTGTCCCTCGGGACCAACACCTTGCCTGCTTACTTTTTGCATTTGTGTGTACATTGTAGCAAAGACCCAGGATGGAGTGGCCTTGGAAATCCAGCCACTCAATAGCCAGGAGGGGACTGACAATGAAGAAAAGGAAAAGAAGATCACCAAGGTGCCCAAAAAGGAGAAGTCGGTGCTGCAGGGCAAGCTGACACGCTTGGCCGTTCAGATTGGGAAAGCCGGTGAGTTGGGGCAAGCCAGCTGCCTGTCACTCTGCATCAGAGTAGGTGCTCACAGCACCAACCGAGTCTGGCAGAAGGAAACTGAGGCTTCTGTTGCCAGTACAGTCTAACTGGCTGTGTTGCTGTTTGCCACCATTTGGCTGCTCTCTCAGCTTTTCTAGAGAGGAATGTTTTCCTACATGTAAGGGCTCCTGGCTCCCACTGTCTCCTTCATCTAAACAAATGGGAAGTAAAGAGTGCATATCACAGCAGGGGAGTCATGTTAACGGGAGGGAAGCCTTTAAGAGCTTTCATCTTTCTCTTATTTGGGCTTGTAAATTGCTTAAGTACATAGAAAGCCAGTTTTATGGAGGCAGTTCCCTTGTGTGGTGGTAGCACATGGCCAGCACAGAGCAATGAAGACAGTAAAGACTGGAGTGAAGAGGCAAGCTGTGGTCACAGAGGCTGTCCAGAGAAAGGCCACCGACCGCATCCCTGCCCTATGTTAGCAAGTTGCTTCCCCATCACCTATCTCTATGGTCTCCTCTCCCCTACCACACTTTTCAGTGGTGGAGGCTGGGTTGAAAGGAGGCCCCCTTGGTGCCCATGTTCCTCAAGATATGATCTGGAGGGCCAGGAATTTAGCTCAGCAGCATAAGCACCTGCCTGGCAAGTGCAAGGTTGTTGAGTTCGATCCCCAGTGCCGAAAGAAAAAAAAAAAGGTTATGATATGGAGTCCAGTGCATGTTTCCAAGCCAGTCTTCTGTTTGCCACAGTTATAACTAGTACATCTCTGTATGTACAGTTCATCTTGGGTTCTTGTTAAAGTGTAGATCCAACTCGGTGTGTTCTGCAGCAGGGCCTGAGATTCTGCATTTCTAGTAACTGCCCTAATGGCACTGCTGCTGATCCACTAAGCACACATCAGACAGGAAGGATCTCTGCTGCTCACCACAGCAGCCAACACCCACAAGCAGCTGTATCCACTTAAATTACATAGTTAGAAATCTAACTCCTCCACTCACTTCGAATGACCAGTACCTACATGTGGCCAGTGGCTGTCACTGAAGAGTGCACATAAAGAACACTTGAAGCATGGAAGGCATGCCCAGCTACTCTTGACTGCCTTGGAGTCTCTCACATATAAATTCAGTATGGAGAAGATGAATTGCAAGTTCAGAAACAAGTGACAGCACCTGACATACAGGTTTCACACACTGAACAAACTTGAAGTGCTACAGGTGTCCTCATCCTTGCCTTTTCCTTGGGAGCACAAGGCACAGGAAGGTTGGCCCTGAGTCTGTTGTTTCATTTTCATGTCAAGCCAGGCCAGGACCTGGCTGAGGTGAATGGAGTGCCTTCTCCTACCTGGAGAGTGAGCCCCTCCCTGTTTTATACCGCAGGTGCCTTTCTTCCTCAACGCCCTAGTCCTGGTCCTGATCAAGTAGAGTACAGGCACATACATATACCTTCATTGATATCATCAGCCCTCACTTATTTTAAGACCCCCGAATCATTGAGCCTTAGGAAAAACCAAGTTTCAAGCAGAGCTTTCCCCAGCTACTTTGCCTCCAAAAGCAACAGGAGTATCTGGGACATTCAGGCTTCTGCCACTAGGGTAGCAAGTTGGTTTTTTGATCTTGAACAGATTCTTCCGTTTACCTCAATGAGTGTGATGCCTAGCTATCTCAGTTGGTTTGGTACTTTCTTGATTTTAGCAGTAAAAGTTTTATACCACAGACAGTTGTTCACTGTTAGGCAAACCATCTCCAAACAAAAATTAAAAGAGGACCAAGAGTATACTTCCGTGGAGAGCACTCTTCTGGCATGAGTTTCTGCCTGAATTTGATGCCCCTCTACCACCACCAAAAAATAGAAGAAAGAATGAGACTAGTAACCTGCCTCATGGGATCACTATGAAGAGATCATGAAGGATTGGGCATATAAATTTTTGCACTTTAGGGTGGGTGCACTCTTCCTCAGAAGGTCTGTCTTGTCAGTATGCTAGCTTATAAGATACGCTCGCATCATTGGGGCAACTCTGTAACCAAGTGGTGACGGGTCCAACATTCAGGAGAAGTCAAACTTGGCAAAATACTAGTCAATGAAAAATGTAGTTGTCTCATTATGAGTTGTGGAATACAATCACAAAATGCTGTTTCAGAGGGATTATTCTCTTAATTGTAAGTGACAAACTTGGACTAGGAAACCGGACCACATGTGCTTGATTAGTCCAAGGTCATGAGTTAAGCAGGTGCAGTCCTAAGAGCAGAGCCTAGATCTTTGGGCCCACGGTCTTTAGAACTGGTGTCTTTTGGGGTGGGGGATTTGGGAGTTCTGGGGCTCAAACTCACAACCTTGTGCCAACCAGGCAAGCTCTTAAGCCACTGAGCTAAATTCCTGGCCCCTTGACTTTTCTTTTTCACCATAGTGTATAAGCTACAGAACATGAATAGATTTTAGTCTGACTTCTTCAAGATAGTGGTTTTAAGAATTAGTAGAAAGATTACAATTTTTACTAATCCAGCTCTGGTTAGAGCCCTTGGAGTGCCCTCAAGCCTAGGTTAATGTGACTTGTTTCCCTGAACAGGTCTGATCATGTCAGCCATCACAGTTGTCATCCTGATTCTGTACTTCGTGATTGACAACTTTGTGATACAAGGCAGGCCGTGGCTACCTGAGTGTACTGCCGTCTACATCCAGTACTTCGTCAAGTTCTTCATCATTGGCGTGACTGTATTGGTGGTGGCTGTGCCGGAGGGGCTGCCACTGGCTGTCACCATCTCCTTGGCCTACTCTGTGAAGGTGAGACTGCAGCAATGTTGTTGCTTCCTTTGGAGTAGAGATGGGAGGGAGGGCACAGGAAGCCTTCGGTGGAAGGATAAACATGTCATCCCCTGTAAACTTGGGATGGGCCATCCCAAGTGTGGAAATCGCTGACACTGGAGAGACCACCTCCACTGGCTATGTCAGTGTTTAAATAAGCCAGTAGAATCTTACAAGATTTACAGAAAACAGTCTTGCATTTTTGTGTAGGACCGTAAAATAAAATGTGGAGAGATGCTGACTGGAACGCAGCCTGAAACCTATCTGGGTGAGACCAGGAGGTCTTCTCTCAGGTCTTTTCTGTTTGCCTTTGTAGAAAATGATGAAAGACAATAACCTGGTACGGCACCTGGATGCTTGTGAGACCATGGGCAATGCCACTGCCATTTGCTCTGACAAGACAGGCACGTTGACCATGAACCGCATGACAGTAGTACAAGCTTACATCGGGGGCACCCACTACCGTCAAATCCCAAGCCCCGATATCTTGCCACCCAAGGTCCTGGACCTTATTGTCAATGGCATTTCCATCAACTGTGCTTATACGTCTAAGATTTTGGTGAGCTCTCCCTCTGTCTAGGCATTTGGAATGGGCGGCTGGAGGGGAACACTAATTTTGCCTGAGACAAATCCCTTACTGTTTCTTCTGCTCGAATTGCCATCCTGTACCCCTTCTTACTCCTGGTTGAACTTGTTCAGGTGGAGGCTAGGAGTAAATTTGGAGGGTTGGGACTGAGGGGCTCCAGAATCTGAGAGCCTTAGATTACCCTGGAAAGACAGTGACTCTGAAAAGAAACCTCATGCTTATGGCAGACTTGAACTTATCAGGACAAAAGTTACTCACTTTGCACAAATGAAAGCATTAGAATAAGGATGAGAGGGCCGCATGATCACACCACAAACTGTAAAACCCCCACGGTGGGGGCGGCCCTGGGATCAAATCACAACTGACCACTGTCTACTATTCTTGAAATGAGAACTGCAAATGCTGTCCTTATGAGCTCGGGTTATATTTGTGATTTTTAATTTTAATTTTCAAAACTTTATTTATTTACTTTTCTGGCGCCATGATTGAAGCCAGGGCCTCGTGCACAGTAGACAAGAGCTCTACACTAAGCCACAGCTCTAGCCCTACCTAAGATTTTTGTAGGGGAGTCCTTAGTGTCCTCGGTGGTTTCTCTACTCCTGTGTTTATCTTCCCCTTCAGCCTCCAGAGAAGGAGGGAGGTCTGCCACGGCAGGTGGGCAACAAAACCGAATGTGCTCTGCTGGGCTTTGTCACCAACCTGAAGCACGATTACCAGGCCGTGCGTAATGAGGTGCCTGAGGAGAAGCTCTACAAGGTGTACACCTTCAATTCGGTGCGCAAGTCCATGAGCACAGTCATCTGCAAGCCCAGTGGCGGCTTCCGCATGTTCAGCAAAGGCGCCTCAGAGATCATCTTGCGCAAGTGAGTGCCCTGCCCTCATGTACTTCTTCCCCAGGACCCTTCTCTCCGGGAAGTCTGGGTGACATGCTCCATGATGAACGGGTTTGGGTGATTAGGGAACCTTTCAGCCAAGTGGTGACATCTAGCTAACACCTGAACTTTATACAAGCCAAGCATTGATTTCAAGTACTTTAAGTAGCCCCTTTTATTTAATTCTCATAACTCTGTGAAGTGGGTGCTGTTATTCGGTCTTATGGATGAGAAAACAGGAAAGTTATGTAATTTGCTCAAGAAGGTACAACTAACAGATACAGCCATGATGCAGACCTGGACAATCTAAACTCATTTATCTGAAAACAAAGATAATCATACTCAGAATAAACCCCACTCACTGTGGTTAAGTGATCAGTGTACATAAGCTACCTTGCACATAGAAGTATTGGCAACATCAGCAACAAGTTTCCTTTTCTTTCCCATTGTCAATGCTGATTATAGGTAAGTTACATAACTTCATAAGTGGTTGGACTACCGATGGGTGAGTTATTAACATTGGACTCAACTTGGTATAGGGTCTGCAGAGCTTAATGAAGCAGTGGCCCAACCTTGTTTCAACTGCCTTCTTTTAATCAGCATGTTCTCAGTTAGTACACTCTGTGTGCAGTTATAGACTGAAAAAGTCTCTACTTTTAGAAAGGTCCAAAGAGCAAGTGATCCACAAGTGATTCAGCATTGTATTCTCGTGTGAGTAAGAAGAGTGACAGTCACTGGGATAGTCACACTCCCTGCCCACCTGGACTTAATCCATAGGCCAGCCTACCTGGGAAAGAAGAACTCGGCTGAATAATGGATAAAGGAGATACTTGGTCAAGCAATAAGGTCTTTGGGGGTAATGCAGAGTTAGTTGTCAGAAAGTTGCTAAGGATTTAGAAACAGACTGAGCAGGAAAGGAGGCTCTGCTTTCTGACTGTGAATGTCTCCAGGTGTAATCGAATCCTCGACAAGACGGGGGAAGCATTGCCATTCAAGAGTAAGGACCGAGATGACATGGTGCGTACTGTCATCGACCCCATGGCCTGTGAAGGACTCCGGACTATCTGCATAGCTTACCGGGATTTCGATGACACAGAGCCCGCCTGGGACAACGAGAACGAGATCCTCACAGAATTGACCTGTATCGCGGTGGTGGGCATTGAAGACCCCGTGCGTCCAGAGGTGAGGCTTTAGCTTGCAGAAAGGGCAAAAACATATAAGTGATGGTCTGCAGTGTCCACTGGTCTAAGCAGCAGCCCAGTGTGATCTAAGGAGCCACCAGGGTCACAGGATGGGGGTGCAAGTTCCTTGTCATCTACTTGTGACCCCAGGCAAGTACCCTGGTGTGCCCACTTGACAGGCAGTGGCGTTCCTGCATGAGTGGTAAGAAATGATGGTTTTATTGGACTTAATATTTGGTCAAGAGGCAAGAATAACCAACTTGGTCTTTAGCCACCTTGTTTCAACCACTGTATTCTTTGCAGGGAGCCTGTGTACTGAATGCTCTCCTAGACACAGGGAATTGAGAATATCTCTGCTCTAGAGAGGCTCAGACAGTCAGCCTATTAGCTATCAAGGCCAAGACTGGCAAAAATGACCTGCCTTTGGAAAACCATGGAGAGCTGATATGGTTGGAGGCTGGGCCAGAAAGGCAGAGAGCGGTTAGATTTTCAGGGCATGAAAGCAGTGGCCAATCTCCAAATGCTCTGCTGAGGAATCTGGACCATGAAAGACAGCACAAGTGTTTGCATATGGCTCCTAAAGCCCATTTCCCCTTAGTTCCTGGAATAACAGTGAATCTCAGATGTGACCCTTGTGGGATGAACAGAAGCAAGGTGACAATGAATGCTTAAAAATGACTGGTATAGGGCCTGGGGATTTAGCTCAGCGGCATAAGTACCTGCCTTGCAAGCAGGCAGTCGTGAGTTCGATCCCCGGTACCAATAAAAAGGAAAAAGACCAAAAAAAAAAAAAAAAAAAAAAATGACTGGTGTAGCCCAGGCCCCATGGCACAGTGAAGAGAAAGCAGAAAAGGAGCAGCTCACCAGGTATCACCATCTTTTTTTCTTCTCCCCTCTCCAAAGGTTCCGGACGCTATTGCCAAGTGCAAACGAGCTGGCATTACTGTCAGAATGGTGACAGGTGACAACATCAACACAGCCCGGGCCATTGCCACCAAATGTGGCATTGTGACGCCTACAGATGACTTCTTGTGCTTAGAAGGCAAAGAATTCAACAGACTCATCCGCAATGAGAAAGGCGAGGTGTGTCCTGAATGGGAGAAACCAGTGTCTCATTAGATGGGGAAAGGGCTGGTTCTAGCGTGGAGCATCTGGGGCCTGTGCGGGAAGGTGGGTGGATTCGAAACTGAAATCTGCTCCTCATGAGACATTCCTACCGAAGCAGCTCAGATGGTAAAATGGGGAGTTGTCTGTCTTCTCACTATCTTCATTCACAAGTCATCTTTGGAAACAGTGTCACTAACTTTTCATGTCATTCTGCTTTTTTCAGTCATTAGATCTCCCTATCTCATCCCTTCCATGTCACTGCCCTATGGCTAAGAGTAGTTTGTAAGAGAAAGTAGTCTGAAGGGAACAGACCAAAGCTTCCTGGTCTGCATAGGAAAATCAAACCTGCTGAGCATGGTAACCCTGCCTGTAATCCCAGCCCCTGGGAGGCTGAGGCATAAGTGATCTTCCTTCACGGCTGATCCAGATGCTGTTTGGTGTTGGCAGGTAGAGCAAGAAAAGCTGGACAAGATCTGGCCTAAGCTCCGGGTGCTGGCGCGGTCTTCCCCCACTGACAAGCACACACTGGTGAAAGGTGAGGTCGGCTCCTGAGTGAGGGCCTGCAAAAGATGAAGACAGGCTGGGATGGGGACAGTAACCGTATCGGCCAGAGCAGTTCTTCCATCCCGCATAGGGGGTTCTAGGAGTGCTCCTGGGCTAAGGGGGAAAATATTCCCTTTAGTAAACCTGTGGGCCCTTAGTGAGTAGGACATATAATAAAGCTGGGTTTTAAAAACATTATATAGCTCACAGTGGTACTGTGAATTAGTCACCATGGGTAAATCTATCTTGTCTTGTCAGAAAGGAAGTTGGAAGCCAGAAAGACAAGTAACTTACTCAAATCCACCCCACTGGCAGGTAGAGCTGGTGCAGGGGAACCCAGGGCTTTGCTTTCAAGTCCATCGAGTACTTTCCCCGTTACCTTAGCCACTGTGTGAGGACTTCCATTCCTAGCCAAGGCGCTGCTCATGGAACAGGTACTGCCCTTGGGTGGCAGCTGGAGAGCATTAGCATGGAAAAGAAGATAACAGAGTAGTAGAAACTGGGGTGGGGAAGGATGCAAAACACCTTTCGTGGGGCGCAGAGTGCTGGCAAATGACCTGAGGCAGCACACACATGCTCACTCTTTCTTCCTCAGGCATCATTGACAGCACTGTTGGAGAGCAGCAGCAGGTGGTGGCTGTCACTGGAGATGGCACCAACGACGGGCCTGCCCTGAAGAAAGCAGATGTCGGTTTTGCCATGGTAAGTGCCTTTGTGGGAAACCAGGACAGTTTCTAATGGACTGCTGCTTCCAGGGCCTTCACCTCCCACAGAGAGCTGCTTTCTCAAACTCTATCTCTCCTACCTTCCTGGCCACAAATACTATGTATAGCAGGGGACCCATTGGATGTGACAATAGATGAGAGGCGGGAAAGCCATCAGCTACCTTACCCAGCCAAGCAAGACCAATTTAAACTTGATCGTGAGTGCAGTGTTGGGGTTTTTTTTTTGCCCAGGCAAATTATAGAAAACTCATCTTCCATATGAAACACATGCTATGGGGCAAGCATTGCTTGGTGCTGTACTGTGCTTTTCATTTGTGAGGCCAGGAACATCGGAATCTCTTTGGAAAGGTCATTTAAAAACATATATTCTAAATTTGAAATATCTTGAGTCAGTGGAGTACAGGATGGGTATGAAAACATTTGATTTTTTGTTGTTGTTGTTAGCAAGCATAATAGCTCATTCTGATGCTCAGGGAAGTTTAAAGTCCTCCAGACTGCAAAGTACTTCCTCAAGCTGAAGCTGTTGTGATCATAAGCCTCTCAGGAAAACTGAGCTATTGGTGCTTTTGTTTTGTTTTGTTTGGTTTTGTAACAGTGCTGGGGATCAACCAGGATGCTTCCTGGATGTGAGGTGATTCTCTAAGTGTAAACTCCACCCCATCCCTGATTTTAAGCAGTGGAAGGAAAACCAAGAAGTATTTTTAGAGGGAACATGTTTTAAAAACAAAGTTTTAACTCTAAGAAACTATAAGAGTATGCAGAAGTAGGGAGAATCCTATCTAATGAATCCCCAGGAGCCCGTCATTCAGCTGCAGCAATTAGTGTCACTCAGCCAGTGTTGGTTCCCTGACACATTACACTATGCCAGCTTCCCCATCCCCATCCCCAGCTGAATTCTTCTAAAGCAAAGCCAAGACATTGTGCCATTTCATTCATAAAAATTTCAATGCATTTCTCTAAATAATGTATATTAATAGAATGTGCCTAAAAGAATAATACCATTTTCACATAACAGAATTCATGATTCTTTACTATTATTAAATATCTATGAGTGTTCACAGTTCCCTGACTCTGTGTGTGTGTGTGTGTGTGTGTGTGTGTGTGTGTGTGTGTGTGTGTGTGTGTGTGTTTTCGAGACTGTCTTGCAATACAGGTCAGGCTGGCCTTGGGCTCTCTTCGTAGCCCAGGCTACTCTCAGACTCATGATGATTCTCTTGCCTCAGCCTACCAATTGCTGGGATTACAGGAGTGCACCATCACATGCAGATACCTTAACTGACTTGTGAATGTTGCTTTAGAGTCTGTTTGTCCAAATCAGGATCCAAATAAGATCTATACATTGCAATTGTTCAATATATCTCTTAAGTCTCTTTATCTATAGCGGTGGCTCTTGAAATGTGCTCTTCCTTACAGCTGAACCAGTGATATGTGGGAGCCCATAGAAAAGCAGGTTTTCAGGCCCTACCCTGATTCAGTTCTACTGAATCAGAAAGCCCAGCCACCAGTTTTCTTTTCTTTTTTTTTTTTTTTTTTTTTTTTTGTGGTACCGGGAATCGAACTCACAACCTCATGCTTGCCAGGCAGGCACTAATGCCACTGAGCTAAATCCCCAGCCCAGCCACCAGTTTTAACAAGGCCTCTCAATGATTCTGATACATCCTAACGTTTGAGAACCACTGATCGTATCTCATCCCTGTGTCAGGAGTCCCAAAGACACGCTTATATTTATAGATTCACCAAGACTCACAGAACTCAGCATATAGCTGTACTCAGACTAAGCTTCATTACACAGGTGTAAAAACAACTGTGTGTTTGGATCACAGTGAGGAAAGACATTGGTGGAATCTAGATGACCTGTAGTCATCATTAAGTTTTCCCTCCCGTGAGGAGTCACATGGAGTCTGTTCTTCCCACTGACAAAAGCAGCAATATTTTTATGATGTTTCTGCCCAACGCAGCCAATCACATGTCTATCACCTATGGTTTTATTAAGACTGACACCTTCTCTCAGAAGGAATGTAGGTGTTTGGTATAAACCAGATTGTGTAAGGGATGAGGATTTAGCTCAGTGGCATAGCTGTCTGCCTTGCAAGTGCATGGTTGTAAGTTCAATCCCCGGTACTGATTTAAAAAAAAAAGTATCCAGATTGTGGGGGCTCCACTGGGACCCAGTCAGGGACCCTTATCAGTTCATTATTGACCAGGGACATTCTGAGAACCATGTCCCCAAATGCTAGCTAAGTGTCAGCCTTATAAACAGGCCTGCTACAGTAAGTAATCCTTTCTTATACATGCCAGTTCTGTTTTGGATTGATTGATTGATTGATTGATTGATGGATTGATTGATGGATTGGCTTTTTGGAGACAGGGTATCACTATGTACTTCAAGCTGTCCTTGAACTCACAAAGAACTCACAAAGGTTAGCCTCAAGGAGTTCCACCTGCCTCAACCTTCCTAGTCCTGAGATGTGTACTACTTAGGTGTATACACACCTAGCTTGATTTTATTTATTAACTTTTATACCAAAGTAACTCTCTGTTATTTCGGTACTATAAGAATCAATTCCCAGATGGAAGGCAGGTTTAATGCTTCTTTCTCTTTATCAGTTTTCCCATTAATGGGTTGATTTTTTTTTTTTTTTTTTTTTTAGGATCCTCCAAAAATAACCAGCAAGTTGTTTTATTTATTTTTTAAAGTTTCATTAAAAATACTCATACTGAGGCATATTTGATGTATTTCAATCCCGTGCTTTTACCATTTTGATGTTTACGTTGATCCATCATTGGCCAGGGAATGCCTCTTGAGCATTATGAGTCCTTTTGACACCACTCTGGTGCCTTTCCTTTCCATCTTGGTCTTTCGCCAATGTCCCAGAGACATTGTGCATGTTTCTTACCTGGGTTCTGAAATCTCCCATTCTCCAAGGAGCCTTGCCGCACTTAGGAGAAATGGTTTTAGAGAACACAGGCAGAGCACAAGGGGGCTTTGTTGCTGAGTACGTCATTGCTTCTAGGCCTTTTCTATGGACAAAGCTAAGAAATAGGTTTTTACATCTCAATTTCATTCTGCATTGTTTTAGAGATAAAATGCCTTGTGAATTCAGACCACTATTTCACAAATTTAGAATTACAAATTTAACATACTAATTCCTAAATTCTTAATTTCTAACTTTCTAATTTTATTTAACTTCCCTGATTTTTAAAAGAGTACTTGTTGAAAGTTCTTGTTGCCTTGTTTTTTTCTTTGTTGCTTGATTTCTTTTTCAACAAAGTCTTGCTATGTAGACTAGGCTGGCCTTGATCTCTCTATGTAGCCTAGGCTGACCTCGAACTCTCAGTTATCCTCCTGCCTCAGCCTCCTGAGCACTGGGGTTACAGATGCGCACTACCACGTCTGGCCTAACTTCCCTGATTTTATATTGTAGCTATTAAGCTAGAAATATTAATTCCTAATGCACATAATTATTATTTGCTTTATTTAAAATATATGTGATGGTTTTTAAATAATAACTGTTAGTAATATAATTACTAAAAAATTACTATTCCTTTATGTATATGTGAACTTTTACATACTATGAACCTTTTTTACTTTTCTTTCATCTTGCTTTTTTGTTTTGTTTTGTTTTTTGAGACAAGGTCTTACTATATAACTCAGGCTGGCTTTGAACACACTACACAGCCTAGGCTGGCCTCAAACTCATGGTGATCCTCCTGCCTCAGCCTCCTGAGTGCTGAGATTACAGGTGTGAGCTGCCACACCTGGCCTACCTTGCTTTTTTCAATTAACAATAAAATTTGGAGATTACTCCTAGTAGTAAGCAGATGCAGATAATCTTCCTTTCTTTGCACAGTATAGTGTGTGGATATACTACAGAACTGATTGTTTTGGTACCAGCGATCAGACTCATGACTTCATACTTGCGAGGCAGATCCTTGAGTTGCTGAGCTAAATCCCAGCCCTAATGAACTGATGATATTAAGGAAACTGAGTGGCATAGTCTTATCTACCAGATACTCAGTTGTTGCAATCTAGATAGGAAAACACTGCCACCCCAGATAAAGAAAAATAATCTATCAGTAAACAGCAGAGTGAAGAAGAGCTCTGTGGGTTACAGGAGTTGCATCGTGTGTGATGGCTACAGGGCTGGGGGCATGAGGAGCGCTTTGCAAAGCAGTGAGAGTTAATTAAATGAGACCTTAACCTAAACAGATTTTTGTTTTGTTTCATTTTGGGTGCTGGGATTGAGTCCAGGGCCTCATGTATACTAGGCTAGCACTCTACTACTGAGCTGTGGCCTTTGTTTTTTGGGTTGGTTGGTTGGTTGGTTGGTTGGTTGGTTGGTTTTGTTTTCTTTTTCTCTTCTTTCCGACAGGATCTCACTAAGTTGTCCAGGCTTGCCTCCACTAGGCAGTCCTCTTTCCGCAGCCTCCTTAGTGCTGGGATCACAGACATGCACCACCAGAGTTAGGGTTGAAATGGATAAAGAAAGAGGATGTTTTGGACTTAGGGAAATGATGTTTGGATGGGGGTGGGAGTCTATACTCTAAATGTGAATAATTCAAAGGGTTGTGACGAAGCACTAGGTTTTGAGAAGAAAGAAAACATAAGAGGAGGTTGAGAAATAAATCAGAGTCCAAGTGTGAAAGCGTGGTCTACCAGACTGAAAAGCTGACACTTGCAAAGGCTGGCTTTCAACCACTGCCGTAGGTCTTTGGTAGCCTTTGGTGGCCCCTGGGGACAGAAGCACAGTCTGAGCTGTGCTGCCAGGCTCTCAGAGCAAAATGTCAGGCTCCTTAAAGGTGTGGGTGCCACACGAACTTTAGTCAGATACTGGCAGTAGCAGAAGAAATTGAAGAATTTAGAGATGGATCAGAAGGAGCGGGCTTGTTCGTCGTCGTTTATTTAATTCATTTCTGGAGTCATGGGAGTAGAAAGGAGAGGAGAAAGGGCTGTCTGCCGAAGTTCCTGTCAGGGCACAGGAGTCAGCAATGGCTTCAGGCCCCAGCCCATCTCTGTTACAGGGACAGTGACGCACACGGTTTTTGTTTTTTTCCCTTCATTTTCTTTTGTGTGTCTAGTGTGCCCTCTAGTGTCTACACCTGGTTCTGAGGCTTCTCAGAGTTCTGGAAATGGAGCCTGGCCTCAGAGAAGCCTGCTCTCCCCAGCTCCTCACTGCCTTCCTTCCCATCTTGCCCCAGGGTATCGCAGGCACAGATGTAGCCAAGGAAGCATCAGATATCATCCTCACAGATGACAACTTCACCAGCATCGTGAAGGCAGTGATGTGGGGACGAAATGTCTATGACAGCATCTCCAAGTTCCTGCAGTTCCAGCTCACTGTCAACGTGGTGGCCGTGATCGTGGCCTTCACCGGAGCCTGCATCACTCAGGTGAAGGGCCTGAGGTGGGCTGAGTTGGGAGGGGTGAGGCAGTGGCCATGGAACATGGCAGAGGGAGCAGGATGAGGGTTTCCCCGGTGGTGTAAGGGCAGGCAGTAGCTCGACTAGTCTGTTGTGTCTCTATTTATTTGAAATGACAATAATTTACCTACAGTTCATTTATAGCACTTTCTGTCAGCTACTATGATGTACCCTTAAGAACATTATCTCTGTTCTTCAAAAGCAAGCTTGGGGGAAGGTGTTGTCTCCCATTCTGTAGGTGAGGACCTCAAGGCTTAAAGCTGTTAAATAATGTTCTCATGGTCATTCAGCTACTAAGTGACCAGATTCAGAGTCTAGGTGAATAGTGAGAGAAAGGTCATTTCAAGGGCAGGCAGGGCCGGTGAATGCAGTGGGGTAACTTAAAGGACAAGTTCTTCTTCTCACCAGGACTCCCCGCTGAAAGCTGTGCAGATGCTGTGGGTTAATCTGATCATGGACACTTTTGCTTCACTGGCCCTAGCCACAGAACCCCCCACAGAGTCTCTGTTAAAGCGTCGTCCTTATGGCCGGAACAAGCCTCTGATCTCACGAACTATGATGAAGAACATCCTGGGCCACGCAGTCTATCAGCTCACTGTCATCTTCTTCCTCGTCTTTGCTGGTGAGCCAGTGATGGGACTGCTAGCTAGAGACAGGGACCGAGAGTGGCCTGAGGAAAGAAGATGTAGCAGTAGTGACATACCTTTTAGAGACCAAGTGCCCAAACTGCTACCCAAACCCATTTATCTATTGTAAAATGCTAGCACTCTAATTAAAGCTGATTGCTTAGCTGCCAGGGCGATGCTGGGGCCGTTTGGCTCATGTACTGACAGAGAGGACTCTGCATCCCCGCTGCAGTACCCATGATGCCATAGGTTCGCCACCACTGAGATAAGAGTATGGGAGCAGAAGGAGCACAGAAAGGGCCCTCCAGCAGCCTCACCTGTGAGGATTCCCTGGGTATTCCCACCACCTAGCTACAGTGCACTGGAATTACCACTATGCTTCCCCATGAAAGCGGATATCCACAGTGCAAACCAAGAGACAGGGTCGGATAATTTGAGACCAAGGCTGACATTTAAAAGAATGGATTAAACCAAGTGTGGTAGCACACATTTGCAACCCCAGCTAGTCAAGGAGCTGAGGCAGTTTCAGCCTGGGCAACTTGGTGAGACCTTGTTTCAAAGTTTTAAAAAAGCTAGGGATGTATAGGTCAGCGCTCCCAAGGTTCAGTCCCGGGTACTGCAAAATAAATAAATAAAGGGCTAGGGGTTTCGCTCAGCAGTATAAGCACCTCCCTGGCAAGCATGAGGTCGTGAGTTTGATCCCTGGTACCAAAAATAAAAAAGAATAAATAAATTTAATAACAGAATAACTCAGAATGTAACTAATCAGAATGGATCTTCTCAATATGGTTTTCAGTGTTTTGTTTGTTCCATTTTATTATTTGTTTTATTCGGTGTTCTGTTCTGGTGGTTTTATTCTGTTCCGTTTGTTTGATTATATTATGTCGGGTCTGGGCAGCTATTTTGAAGATAACAAGAGGCATTATGGTAGCCATTGTTGGTTTCCCATCATCTTGTGTTGAAGTTCTATATCACTCACTGTTTTGTTTTGACCGGCTTTGTTCAGTTTTATTTTGTATAGTTTTAATCTCTTTAAAATAAAATTAAAAAAAAAAAAAAAAAGAATGGAGGATCTTCTAAGGGCCCCCAGGCACTGGTGTGGCCACGCCAACATGTGCTGACTGAGCCCAAACCCCGCTGAGCCACGGGTACCCTGCAATGCTTGCCCTTTTCCAACCAGGTGAGCAATTCTTTGATATCGATAGTGGGAGGAAGGCACCGCTGCACTCACCGCCCAGCCAGCACTACACCATCGTCTTCAACACCTTCGTGCTGATGCAGCTCTTTAATGAAATCAACTCCCGGAAGATCCATGGAGAAAGGAATGTCTTTTCAGGCGTCTACCACAACCTCATCTTCTGCTCGGTGGTCTTGGGCACATTCATCAGCCAGGTGAGGCTCGCTGGAGCTGAGGCCCAGGGAAGGTGAAGGCTGGAACCTAGGAGCCAAAATTCTCTTAAGTCCGGAAGAAAAGGAGTAAAGGTGTCATGGGGATCGAGGCTGGGGGTTGACACTTCAGAGATGCCAGTTGGCTTCCGTCTGTACTTTATTTAAGAAGCAGGGCCCAGAATATCAGTAGCTCCCGTGTCGGGCAGCACATGGGTTGCAAATAAGATAAGGCCTGGAGTATTCTTTCAGGATTGCCTAAATACACAGAAATTTCACAGAGTAACCAAGAAAGGGTCACTCTCTTCTAAACCCCTTCTATGCTTCCTGCTGGCACACGTGGAATGTGCGTGTCACGTAGTAAAGGCTCCATTCCCTTCTTTTCTAAGGAGGCTTGTGTAGAAAGCAGCACCATTAACAGAACGAGAAGTGTTAGACAGTGCATGTGTAGTTAATACCAAACCTGACTTGAGCTTCTGCTGTGGGGAGGGAGGTCAAGGAAGCGGCTCCCCTGGTGCCTTTCTTGTCCTAGTCAGAGGTAGAGCTACACTAAATCTAGAAGGGACACAAGAGCAGAATCCCATCCTTCCACAGGGTACCTCCCTCACTGCCCCTCACCCTCGGGTTCTCCTTCCCATTGCTTTGCCTTCTCTTTGTCACTCACTGGCTTTGGTCACAAGAAGCACAACCTGCTTCCACTCTGCCAGGTCTCACAGTAGTCAGTCATAGCAGTTGTAGAAACTGTGGGGCCCTAAAGACTCCATGTGTATCCCTCCTTACCCTCTATGCTATCTCCTTTCCTATTCTCCAGCGAGCAAACCAGGACTCACACCACAAGGAGCCCTAGGCAGGGCCATGACAGTCCTTTAGTGACCCTGGCTGGAGAGGGTCCCTGAGGCTGAGCTGCCCCTTTTTCTCTGTTCTAGGTTATCATTGTGGAATTTGGGGGTAAACCCTTCAGTTGCACCAAGCTCAGCCTGTCCCAGTGGCTGTGGTGTCTCTTCATCGGGGTTGGAGAGCTCCTGTGGGGCCAGGTGAGTGCTGTACCCTCCCCCGTCTTCATACAGCATGCAGACCTCCCGTCTGCTACCGGAGCTGCAGCGCACAACTGTGCAGACCCTTGACTCTTTGCTTCCTCCTTCTTCTCCCCTCCTCCTACCCAAGTGTTCAAGTTCACTCTATCTTGTAGGATCCCAAGGTGGAGTGGTGGCAACCCACTACTTCACAGGTTTCAGGTCTCTTCTTGAACCATGCCTGGACTTCTCTGGGACACCAGCAGAACTTTTCAATGGAGTTTTATTTGGAAAGGGGCAGGGGGTTAGTTAAAAGTAGAAGAGCTTACAGGCCAGGTAGGGTGGCACATACCTATAATCCCAGCACTTGGGAGGCTGAGGCAGGAGGAGTACCATGAGTCTGAGGCCTGCCTCGGCTACATAATGAGGTCAAGACCAACCTAAATGACTTCTCCTGCTTTGTTTCCTCCAGGTCCTAGTCTTTGTCCCTATTGGGTATGTGCCATGTATTCTAGTCCTCTTTCTTTTAAAGACATAAAGTGAAATGGAAAGAAAGACCTCAGACAGAAAGAGGACTTAGAGAACTAGGAAGGTGACTGATAGGTTACTAGAATATAAACGCTCTTTTGTATGTCCATAAATACAGAAAAGATTCCTAAAAGCGTGACACCTGGTGGGCACTTGGTGCCTACTTGCCCGAACAGATTGGTGCTGCTCCTCACTACTCTCCTGGCAGAACACGGTGATAGGGAAGAATGGCCTTCCTGGGGCAGTCCTGGGTGGATGACTGACAGTCTTCTGCCTGTCCTCAGATCATCTCTGCAATACCTACTCAGTCTCTGAAGTTCCTGAAGGAGGCTGGGCATGGCACTGCCAAAGAGGAGATCACCAAGGATGCTGAGGGGCTGGACGAGATTGACCACGCTGAGATGGAGCTGCGCCGAGGCCAAATCCTCTGGTTCCGGGGCCTGAACCGTATCCAGACTCAGGTACTGTGCTGGTGGCTTGTCCTCACTTTGGGAAAAGGAACCTTGTCTCCAAAAGTGATGGGGGGGGCAGCAGCAGATTTTGGCAGCCACCACCTCTCTCATGCCTAGAGCTCACTCCCAAAGGGCAGCTGTTGCTACCTAGCTTTAGGACCAACAAGGCAGCAGTGTCAGTGTGGCCTTCTCTGAAAGAGAAGCCATAGTACCAAGACTATGTCCTATTTTTAGCAGTTCTTCAGCGATGGACTGGTTGAGGAGCCCACTCTGCCAGCCTCTGGGGCCTGGAAAGCTCCATGCAGAGGGTTGTTTGTATATGCTATCCCTAGCCCAAGGATGAGGAGTGTGCAGCCCCTCCCTGTCTTCCAAAAGGAAGAAGGAACACAAAATCCCTTAATCAGCATCTTCAGCAGTCACTTAATATGACACCCTCTCGCTGCTGTTTCAGTAATCAGTATTACCTGGAGGGATCTCAGTGAAAGAAATTCACTCTCTTCTACCTTTTGACTTGAAATGGAAGGCCATGGGGAGAATTTGATGACTTGAGTGTGTATAAACAATGGTCTCTGAGTATCTTTTGCAGGATTCAGACTGCTTCCCAGAAAGGAAGAAGCTATCATTTCTTCAAACCCTTTCCCTCTTACAATTTCTGAAACGGGATAGAAGCTTCTCTGGCTGCTCTCAAATCCCTCCGCCTATAGCTCTATAGTAACGTTTTGTTTTTGTTTTTGTTTCGATTTCTGCACCTCAGTGGTAGCTGCCTCTGAGTAAACAGCCAGTCCAGGCGTTGACAGTTCTCTTCCCCTGCTCCCACCCCACACACCTTTATTGTTTCATTCCCAAGATTTTCCACCTCAAGACACCATCAATCCCGAGGTCTCCAGGATGCTCTCCAGAACACAGGCCTGATTTTTGCCAGGTCTGTTTTTTTGCCAGTTGGCTGGAGATCCCAAAATTGGGTCATTCTCAAAAGCTGGCCTTGAAAGGATGTAGAAGATTCCCCAGCCAGTCAGTCCACTGCCTTCATGCATATAGAAGACAGGTGGGATTAATACTCTGAAGTGCATCCCTGATAGGAACTCATCTCCCATGGGGGAGACATTAGATGAAAAGAAATGTGGGGAAGAAGAGCTAGGTAAGGGAAGCTTGGACTCCTCCCTCTCTTTTGAGCCTCTCCTGCCAGGAAGGGAGACTGCAACAGGACCTACACAAGCTGCCTAGGGGTGCCAGGGTTCTCAGAGTCTCCCCATCCCTCCCTCCAGGGTGCTGAGTTTACTGGGTGTCCATAGAACCTGGTGCCTTGGGCCTGGTGCCTGCTTTTTCAAAATAACTTTTTTACTTTTCTCCCCCTTCAGGATCACCTGCCTCCTTTTCTACTATGTGATTTTTTTCCTCATTGCAGTGCCTCCTCACTCCTTGCCAGTCTTCTCTCCTGGGGGGCCAAGAGTTATGGGGCTTCCTTCCCCTCCACTGCCTCTTTCTGTTCCCTCAACTATGCTCCTGTCTGTCTGGCATCACTGCCTACAGAGCTTTAGGAGTGTTACCTTTACTTGCTGGAGCAGGAGGCAGTCAGCCAGAATGGCATTAAGGCCCAGACCTGCACACCAAAGGCAGCCCAAGGTTAACATTCCCACAATGAGCAGATCTGTGCCAGATGGTTTGCACCTGGCGCTGAGCAGGTGAGACAGTGTGAGGCACCTTAGTATGTCCTGGATATCTGAAGCCCACTCCAGCATCCACTCCTGATCCTCAACAGGGTTAAAGTCTCCTACAACCTGATTTTTGATCCTTCTGGCCACATTTGGGGTGAGAGGAGTTGCCAAGCTATTACCTAGTCGTGGTTGGGATTTTCCCTTTCCCTGATTCTAAACTGTTCTGCCTATCCCTTTACTTTTTAGCTTTGTGGGAGCTAAAAGTACTAGAGAGCAGAAACTTGGGGAATGTCAGGGCTAGAATCTTGGGGAGGTAAACCTAGAATGTAATTTCCTTGCAGAAGTCATATTTTACAGCCTTAATAGGCATTGAAGAAAGATTTCTACAGCCCCTTCTGCACACAGCTGGCACTCTTCCGAGAACAAGCCCTTTCCTCCTGCAGGTTCCACTCCTCAGTCCTCTGGAACTGAAAACTGTAGCGTGTGAGGAAGGGGAAATGTCCTAGCTCAAACTCTGATATGAATTCAGAGATTAACCCTGACACATTTTGTGGCTTCTCAGGAAGCTTTATGAATAGGAGACGCTCAGAGTCACAGAGCACGCGCTGACCCATCTTCTGGAGATGAAGTCAAGGAAATGGGGTCAGCACCTTTCCTAGTCCTGGAAGCTGACCCTTGGAACTAGGCATGTGGCTTTTCCCAAGAGGAGACCACCAGATCTATGAATGATAAAGGAATCCCTTTTGATCTGTTTCTTGTTACTTAGGGTTTCAGGACAGGGACAGTGGATTTGATGGAGGTCCCAGATTGAGGCCATTGCTGGGCAATGAATAGCACTAATCACCTCTGTCTCTGAGGAGCAGCACACTGAAAACCAAGGACCGTGTGGACAGCCTAGAGCTGCTGTGCTCAGGACCACTCACTAACCAACCAACCCCATCACACACTCCTCAGTCCAGCTGCTGAGTTACTGTTAAGTGTTCCGCCCGACATTTCTGGATCTTCAGTACACTAATGCAGCTCAGTGGCATCCTCTCCAGTGAGCCTTGGTCACTGGACTCCTGAGTGCATTTCAGCCAGGGGCAGGGTATGTTGGGGAAGATTCTGTAAAGATGAGCCAATCAATTCACAGTCCAGGGTCCTTTCCACCAAGGCCAACTGCTATATTCCTTTTAAATGGAAATCTGCAAAAAAAAAAAAGTAGTTGGTGTATTTGTTTTAGAAGTTCCCAAGCCTCGACATTCAGAAATAGGTACTTTGCCTTCAACATCTCAAATTGCATGCCTCATTTTTAAGAGTACAGGTCAAAACCATGAATAAGCTGCCAGTCTCTCCCCAGCTGTTAGCCCTTGGATACCTGCATACCTAAAGGGTCCACCAGAAGCCAAAGGGGAAAAGAACACTGGATGGTGGCTGGGTGCTAAGACTGCCCTGCAAACTGTTCCTTAAATGAATTGTGATACTCAGTTAACATTCCCTCCTACCATTCCCACTGCTTTGTTTGAGGGAATACCTCTCTTGCTTTCTCCCCGCATTTTCCCAGCTGCTTCTGTCCCTCTCCCCAGTCCTCTGTAGCCCTGCCGTCCTCCTCATTCCCCTCTCTGACTATGGAGCAAAGCTGTCTCACTCTCTGATTCTTTGCAGATTGAAGTAATTAATACATTCCAGACGGGAGCCTCTTTTAAGGGAGTCCTAAAGCGGCAGAACATGGGTCAACACCTTGATGTAAAACTCGTTCCTAGCTCATCCTATGTAGCAGTTGCACCAGTCAAATCTTCCCCCACCACTTCTGTGGCTGCTGCTGTTTCATCTCCTACTGTGGGCAGTGAGTGATAGTCTATTATGATGCATGATTTGCTACAATGACCACAAGAGAGCACGTGGCATCCACTTTAACCAACGTAGTTATCTGTTCCTTTTGCTTTTTCTCTTTGACACTTTGACTTAAGAAAAGACAAAAATCCTACTCTAAGACCAGGCTGTGCATCCTTTTTATTACATTACTTTTTTAATGTTGGAAAGCTATTTCTTGATTGTCCTTCTGCACTGCTTGTTGTTTCCTTTTCTTGTGGTTTTTGTTGTTGTTGTTTGTTTTGCTTTGCCCTTTTTTTTACTTTGCCTGAATATATCATTGTTGTTCTTTCCTCTCCTGCTCCTTTGAATCTGAACTGTACCAACTAAGCTTAGAGGTGAGATTATACCAAACTAAACCTCAGAAAGTCTCCTTACTGGGGTGAGTTTAATATCTCCTCAGGAAAAGTAGGAAGGGAGCTACTGTGCCCTTGCATTCTTTCCCAGGACCCTGGTCCTATGAGAGCCGATATTAAACATGGTCATTAATAATAGTCATTGTGACCGTCACTGCATTACTAGCTAGCAGCATAAGCATAAAAGCTATAGCTAGCTGTGAAGAAAGGAGATACTCAGTTCAAGTGTAGAAGCTGAGAGTCATCATCTCATTTTTCAAAGACTTTAAAATCTGGCATAAGAATCAGTCACATACAAGAAGGAAAACTGTATGAAAGGTTCAAAAAATTTTTTTTCATTTACTAAAATTTTATTGGAAGTGGGGTATAGCGACACATGCCTGTAATCCTTGTACTACTAGGAGGCCGAGCCAAGAGGATTGCTGTGAATTCAAGGCCAGCCTGGGCTACAAAGTGAGTTCAAGGCCAACCTGAACTACATAGTCAGACCCTGTCTTGACAAACCAAAAATAAATAAATAAAACTTTCTAGGAGTTTCTGGAGAGCAGCCCCTGTTTCAGCTTCTCCTCTGCTCTAGTCTGTGTTACCAATCTCAAGCATCTTTTCGATTGGTATGCCATCACCTACCAAGGGAAGAGCTAGTGTTCTCTTTGGTAAATTGCAGGACTTTTGCTAATGCCTTCCTATTCCTGGTCATTTTACCTTTCCCAAATGGGAAGCAGAGAGGACAGAGGAAGCAGCCTTCTGGCAAGGAAGGAGTTCCTTTGTATTAAGCATATTGTGAGCTTCAAAACCTGAGTGTTCAGTTTGTCACTTCCTCGCCCACTCCCAACCCCACCCCTACCCATGGGACACAGGGTGAAGAAAGACCAATTGTATCACCTGTGGTTCACATGACTGTGAGCTGCCTTGGTCTTAGGGTTTTTTGTTTATTTATTTATTTTTTCTCTTTTTGGCCAACTGTCAGTATTCTGGCATGGATATAGGGGTACAGGGGTGGATAGAGATACCTACTGTGTCTTTAGACCCAAAGGCAGGCAAGAAAGCACTAAATATGTCTTACCTACAAATATCCAAACCCTTCTTGCTCTAAACCCTCATGGTCTTCTCTTAAATCCTGTGTCTTCTCCTCTTGCCATCCGAGTCTAATTAGCTTCTATCCTTTTTAATGATCTCTCTGGTGGGAAGAGTTAGTGTCACATGCCTCAGTGATTTGACAGTGATAGGAGACTAAGGAAGAAGAAGACTCCAGTGAGCTTTTGCAGAGGTAGGGCATACCCAGAGCCTCCAAAGGTGAGATGATCAGAGAGACAAACCACACCTGCTCTTTCTCCAGCTATATCTTCTCCCTGGAAGTTATAGCCATGTATTTTGAATCCCATTCCAGACCTCCAAATCAGTTCAGCTTTATTGTGTAGCTCTCTAAGGTTTCTCTAGAAACCACCTAACCCTTCTCCTCTGGCTTCTAAAAAGGGAGCAGAATTCTAGCTGAGACAATGGAGTCTTTATCTGAACTCAGAAGCTCCACAAAGTAGCCTTTACACTCAGATCTAATCTAAGAATCAGCCCAGTTGGGGCTCCTGAGTCATGAGAGTTGCTCTTCAATCAGCCTCAAAAGAGACATTTCCCAGAGGCTCTGAGAAATGATGTCCAGGGAGATAAGGACTGGGTGGCTAACAGAGGAGTGTGCAAGACTTTCCTCACACCCACTTCACTGGCCCTACCTTGTCCCCCTAAGGTGTTCTGATACAAAGCACCTTATTCCAGCAAGGGAGATGCCAGCCCTGCGTGGGCTGGTGGCGATGTACCGTGAGATTGCTCACCATCCTGTGTCCTCTGAACCCATACTGAGTGAAGCATTCCGTCACGGCCCCGTGCTCCCTACTCCTTTGCTCACCCACCGGACAGATGATGCTCCCTGGCTCTCTGACTCTTCTCTTGAGCTTCCCTTACAGGTGGCTGCTTTCCCCTTGGACTCCAGAGTTTCTGCAGGCTAGCTGAATGACTATTACTTGTTCCCCCAAGGAAAGTTTCCTTCTCTTTCCACCTAACCCTTTGCAACTCACTCATCTCCCTCATTTGTCTACCTATAATGGTGCTACTGGGTACCCCAGCAGGTGAGAGGAAAAGCCAGCGAATGGCCTTAGGCCCTCACTCTCATCCTAATTTTTCAAAGCCTGTTTTTTATAATGGATTCCATATATATATCAATGAAGTATTCAATTGCTTTTAGAAAATAGAAGCCAGATGTTTAAAAATCAGTGATATAAAGATGAACTGATGGTAGAAAAGATATCTGCCTTTAAAAAAATAAGAAGATACCTACTTTCCTATGGGACTCATTAGAAATTTTAAGATTTGAAGAGCAGGCATAACAACTGGGCTGCTGTCATTCCTACAGAGTGAGGCGGCTTTAGACCTATGCCTTGGCCAGTGGTAACTGTAGTGGCGCCAAAGGAGAAGGTTCTGTTGATTTTGGGCTTACTTAATCCAAGTTGCCTTGCTCTAATATTTGATATAGAGAGTCCGAGCCCGCTCTGAAGATCAAATAGAGCCTCCACTCCACCTAATCGAACCTATGTCTGGAGCAGAAACAATGTGATGGTAAAATTCACAGTTACATGGTCAGCAAGAATCAAAAAAGAATGAAAGAGCTGGCGCTCGCCTACTGTTCACTTGGCGAGTATGCACCCAGGTACCTGGATTCTTTTTAGCTGAGGTATTGAGTGGCAAGAAGTCTTCTGCTGTAAGCTCTGTGCGTCCTCAGTCCTGGGTGGGCTGTGAAGAAGTGAGGGAAGATGAGGTAAGCCTGGCCTGCAGAGGCCCAGGCTACCCAGGCAGGTGGACCCACAGGACTGATGGAGAGGCTGCCTCACGTAGTGTTCTTGAAGGTTTCACACAACGATAGGAAGTACTGAGATAGGAACTCCAGCTCACTCGTCTGTTTGTGTGGTCTGCTGGCTCTACATCCTGTCCTCTCTCTGAGTACAATTTTTGCTTGAAGAGCAGAGGAATGAAAAATGTACCATGCTGCAGCAGTAATCTGGCCTGCATAGCTTCCTCCCCACCTGATGATTTCTTCTGCATTGCTCTCATTTCTTTCCTATGGAAAGAATTTTTGGACAAGTCTAGGATTGACTACCTCTCCAAAACTAAAGCTGTCCTATGGTAACTTACCTTCCACTGGCCTCCATCTCTAGTATCTCTGAGATCCTGCTCTCTCTTCCATTCCGATTCTGACCCATACTTCAGAGAGACCCATGGGTCAGAAAAGCAGAACTACCAGAGGAGCCAGTGCCTATGGAGAAACAGAAGCTGTTCACAGGGATCAACTATTGTCAGCTGTTTTTTTTTTTTTCTGTTGACTTTGAATTGACTGAATCCTTTCCTTTATTGTGTAATAGAACAGACTGACATAGAGCCCTGTGTTTCCTTTTGCACAGTAAAACTGCCAATTGTTTTTCCTTCCTTCCACCCTCTTCCTCTGCCCCCTTGTAAAGGCTGCTTGTAGTCTGCTTCCTGGATTAGGTTTCTTCCTGGCCCAGCTGATTCCCTCTCCATATATAATCACACTCCTCTTTCCACTTTGGAAACAGCTGGAGAGGAGCACGATTGGGCACCATTGTCATGGATCAGTCACGGTTGGGAACTGAGTTGTGACAGCCAAGTTTTCTTAGCAAGAAAGGCAAAGGCATCTTCTGACACCTGCATTTCACCTACATCTTCCAGGGGAGAGAAAGGAGGATTCCAGGGAGGGACCACAGTGGAGGTTATGGGATGTAAATTATATGCATGTCTTCTGACTAGGTGGGCAAATTACTAAATCAGAGTTTGAATTTCCTGCATGCCTCTGAATGAAGACTGGTTTGTCTGCTGGCTGCACAGTGTCCACAGTCACTCGTCACCTGATGTGTATTATGTGCAGATTGATATCTGTTGGCTTTTTGAGGGCTTTAAACAGATAACTACACTTCTGTGTGTAATTTTTCCACTCCACATTCACGAATGGCTCAACACAGAAATCCATGTGTGAATCATCTCTTAAGTTTTGCTATTAATTTGCACCTAGTTCCAATATCTTTGCCCTCTATCCAAAAGAGCTAATGAGTATTTTGTTTTGTGTTTTATTTTAAGAGTGGTTTGTTTGGAAGTGCTAACTTTGTTCTGGGTTTTCTTTTTTTAAAATACAACCTTTAAAAATCCTTGTTTGCCATCACTGCTTTACATTTGAACCATGTAATGTTTCTTTCCTCTCTCTCTCTCTCCCTTTCTCTTTCTCTCTCTCTTTCAAGGTTTAACCCTAGAGTTATGGTTGAACCCAAGACCTCAGCACTGAACTATATCCCGAAGCGTTTTGTTTTGTTTTATTTTATTTTGTTTTGTTTCGTTTTGTTTTGGAGACCGGGTCCACTGAGCCACTGAATTGCCCAGGCTGGGCTCAAACTCACAATCCTCCTACCTTAACCTCCCATGAGCCATTGTGCCCTGCTTAGCCATGTGATGTTTGCAGTGTCCTATGATCTTTTTTTATTTATTTGGTTTTGGTTCTTGAATGGCCACGTTTTGTAGCTTAAATTTTGTTTCATTCCTCAAACCATTAGTTCCTTGTGCTGCTGCTCAATTCTCACCTCCTTATTTTCTTATCCTTCTTTTTCCTTCCCCTGGTATAGATCAAAGTGGTCAAAGCGTTCCATAGCTCCCTCCATGAAAGCATTCAGAAACCCGCGAGCCAACACTCCATCCACAACTTCATGACCCACCCTGAATTCACCATAGAGGAGGAGTCGCCACGAACACCGCTGTTGGATGAGCAAAAGGAAGAAGATCTTGAAAACGTTTCTAAGACTTGGGCTAGGGTACTCCCATTGGATGATGAGGTCACTGCACAAGCTAACACAAACAACAATGCAGTAGATGGCACTCAAGAACAGATCGTTGCCTCCCATTTGGACAGCCCTCTACAAAACCTGGAGACGTCAGTTTGAACTTTCATTCTCTGACTCCCACCCCTGTTGTCCCTAATTTCTTTCTCATCTGTCCCATCTATGAGGTGATGACGGGACTTTCATTGTCATGTCAACTGCTCCCAAGTGTGAGAGACCCCTCCCATACACACATCTGACTATGAAGAAGCAGGAGCACAGACCTACAAGGATTTCAGCCTAAACTTGAGTTTGTAGCAGGACCAGTCAAACACAGGCAGGTAACTGTAGAGTCTATTCCTTGGGGGCATCAGTTGTCATTTGTAAAGGAATGTAGCCGGTCCTCCAAGCATCACCCAACCCAAATTCTCCCCAGTGTTCAGACATGCCATCGTCTCCTGACTTCTGCATTTTATCCTCTGAGTCTCTGCCATTTGCAAACTGGGACTTTAGAGAAAGATGAATGTCCACAGATGAAATCTGTTGATGTAAGGATAGAATGTATAAATCAGCCAGTGGAATGATGGTTTTAAAAATAGTTTCTACCACTTTGAAAACCTATCCCTGAAGGCCTCTAGTTTTTTCTGTCCCTAGTGTTCTTTGGTCTTTTGTAACCCTTGTTCTATCCCTTTACTTTTGTAAACATTGTGATAATTGGGAGAATGGAAAGGACATAAATTGATTCAAATTTGACCATTCTCCTTTAAGGCCTCAGTGGAACCCTTGACTTGGTTCTAGAGGTAAATGGATTTCTCTGTTAAGAGTCCTTTTGAAGCCATTAATAGCTGATAAGAATGTTTTCCTGTTGTCAAGTTAGCATCTCCTTCCAAACTGCCATCTTGTCAGGTGTATGTGGTCCTGAAGTGCCAAAGAGATGCCAGAGAGATCAGTCTTAACCATAAAGCTTACACATGTAGAATACAGGTGAATGCAGCTTTCACTATGGGCCTGAGCATCTTTCTGTTCCAGAAGAATGCATTTGGTATGGCCCTGCCTACTAGCTGGTCCTGGAGTTTGAGGACCAGAAGCTAGCAGGCCTGAGATAAGACAGACCATCAACTCAGACTTGTGAGGTCCTCCTTGGGATGACTGCTGCTTTCAAAGCCATCTCCAGGGCTTTTCCAGGATAAGACCTGATTGTCAAGGGAATGAGTGTTGAGAAGCCAAAGAGCCACTCTGGCATGGTTTAAGGAAACCTCCTTGCAGGCACTAGAAACCTTGAGTGTAGGTGCCTGAGTGCCAGCTTTGACCTTCTCTTCAGTTTCCTAATTCTACTCTTTGCCAGATCTACAGTTTTTTCTGACTCAGAATGTTCCAATCTTTCAGGAACATTCTGGATTTGTACATAGACATCCAAAAGGGAAGCTCCCGTGGCCTTGTACTGACTTAAGGAGCAAAACACCCAACCTGGAGGGGCCCTTGTTTCCTCTTTCTCTCCTCTCTCCCTCTCACACATCCCCGCTGAGCACTCTCTTGGCAGTGTGCTCCAGCTGCTGACCAGGACAGCCCTATGCCATCTTTCCCTTCTTGCCCTCCATCCACTGGCCACTCAGGAGTTGGGGACTTAGCTGAGACTTCCTGGGGCAAGATGGAGCCACCTTTGCAGGAGCTCCATTTTATCCCTTCCAATACTGACCGAAGCTCTCTGTGCAGGTGGAGCTAAGCAATGTCCCCAATTCCCACCTCCCATTAGATCAATGAAGCCCAGCCCCCTCTTGCAGAGTATCAGGAGTCAGGAGGAGGCATTAAGGCTCTTAGGAACTGCCACATTTCCATTTGGGAGAGGAAGGTGACCTGAACCTACCCCCCAGCCTTTTCTTCCAGATCCCTCTCCCTCGTCCCTTGCACCTGAGCTGTCCTAGGTAAGAAGAATAAAGAAACAATACCCCTACACATCCTCATTATATGTAATCTGTCATTATAGGAAAACAACTCTGATTTTGGTTTTGTGAGGGTTACATGTTTCAACAGTCTTTTCTCTGTCTTAAATACCCATTGGGAAAAAAACCAGCTCACCCAAGGAGTTAAGTGTTCACACACATATTATTAAGTACATTGAAAGATTTAATTCTGTCAAGTCTTTTATTACCTCACATCATTTAAAGAAGCAAATCAATACCAAGCCTTGGAGGCCATTTTACCATTCCTGCCCCCAAAAGACTCGTGGTGCCTGACAGGTTCCTCCTGAGGTCTCGTGTCTACTTTTTTAAAGTCAGTGGTTTGTGTGTGTGTGTGTGTGTGTGTGTGTGTGTGTGTGTGTGTGTGTGTGTGTTTGTGTGTTCTAGTTTCCAGAGAGAAAATATAGAAATATTATGCAAAAAAATATACTTTTCTTTAGATCAGAAATGGATAATTTTTGAGTCAGCCATATGTATTTTCTTTAAAGGATTTAAAATAAAGTAAGTGCCGTCATGTAACCCTGTGGAAGGAGCGCCTAACCAGCCGACTGACATGACAGGTGACTTAGTATATTTGTAATTGGTTTAAAAACCAGTACACTGTACTTCCTTTCTCCAAACAGCCATCTTTATACTTAGGGAAAAAATTTGTTGGGTTCTAGACTTTTTTAATATAAATTGTGTTGATATGGTATTAAGTTGAAATGTTTATGTGCATATGTTTTTATATATAAGTTTTTTCTATTCAGTTTCAGTGATCCAACTGGCAGTGAGAAAATATGGCATAAGTTACTAATGCTTTCCCCAAAATGGTGCTTTGGATTTGAAAAGGTCTGATGGGGAGAAGGAGAAAATGTTACCCTGGATTTCTGTCTTGATAACCCTAGGAAAATGAACAGTAAACTGTGGCCAGTAAGGACCCCATCCAGCAAAAAGGGACGCAGCTGTCAGGAAATGAATGTGTGCCCTGCCCCGGGCCCTGCAGAGATGGACTGCCAGGCTCTTCTGTAGCTAGTGGTTAGGACCAGGGGCCTTCTGTTGGATTTGTGTTTCTTGAGAAATTAGCTACCAGAGTGGTACCAAAGACAATCTCTCCTGGTCTGCAAGGATACTCTGATTTATAGTTTGCCTGTTTTTATGGTTCTCTCACTCCAATGAGTTTTTGTGCAAGGATCTGAGTTGTGATTCCTTCCTCCCCTAGAAAGGTTTCATTCAATATATCGGATGAGAGACAGAACAGCGAGGTGAAAAATCAGTAGCTGGTTCTAGCCCTGGGTAACGGTGTCAGAGCCATGTCTTTCTTGTAAGCATCCTCTGTCTTCTGAAATGATTCTCCCATCCCTAAAAATATTAAGAGAGAGGCTATCTAGAATTCCATCCATTTGTGGATTCTTTAGGGTTTGGGTTTTTTCTTCCGTTTGAGCTTTAGTGGGAAGAGTTTGCACAGATAAGTCTGAGTCTCACTGCCGAAATCCTAGAGAGGTGTGGGAAACTCAAATGCGCCAGAAAACCTCTTAAAGTAGCTCTCGTTTTTTTCGTCCTTACCTTCCTTGCCTTACGATTGAAGCCACCCACGGTACCACCCCAGTCTGCACACATGCCCCCTTTCATAACTAGGGACCACCCCACAGCACTAGTGGGGTAGGTACTGACAAATGCCTGCTGTTCTTAAGCCATTCCAGCCTCTTCCTCAGAATAGACCAGACTTGCTTATTTTAGCTCAGTGCCAGAATTTTTGCCTTCCCAACTGCAGTTAGACTTGCTGTGTCCTTTCTGCATTTCTTTTTATGTTTTTAAATTTTTCCCTGGTACTGGGATTAAACCCAAGACCTTCACACTGAGCTACATCCTCGACCCTTTAAAATTTTTTTTATCTTTCAGACAAAGGTCTTGCTAAATTACCCAAGCTGGGTGCAAACTTGCAATCTTTCTGCCTCAGCCTCCCAGGCATGCACTACCACACTTGGCTCCCTTTCCTCCTGATCAGGAAAGATGGAGGGAGATGAGCTTCCCATGACTGACTTGGCCTTTGGCTCATGTGTTCTCCCCATGTGTATATATGCCATATGTGAATATGCCATATACATGTTCCAACAAATCTATCTACGTTTTTGCAAATCAGCACGCAGATAGGATTTTGAGTTTCTTCTTTTCAATCACTAGTATAACAAGCACTGGTATTTTTGTACAAAAAAGAAAATCAAACAAAAGATTGACTATTGTGGTCTGCATGACAAACAAATGGTGGTATCAAAGCAATGTGTCTCCTCGTGTGTGCGGCCATCATTTGCAGTCCTGCTTAGCAGCACACTGATCTGTATTTGCATTTTATATTATTTAAGCTCTGTGTGCAATGTTTGCATGTATTTATATGGTTCTTAGGGGAAAATGCTATGAACTGGCAAATCTGAAAGTCAAATGTGTTGTTCCACTGGGACAAGAAGAGAAGAGGAATTTCAAGAGGAATAATTTTTTTGGAACCGATAAAGCTTTTTGCTGATGAGCAGAAACCAATACTGCCATGCACTGAGAATAAAAACCTATGCCCACTTGTAACTCTGCTGTCCTCAATGTGTCTCCACATTTGCTTACGGCCGATTGCATTAAAGAGAATGCTGCCATAGCCATCCTGTCAGAGTAGGCACGGGACCAGCCTGTTCCCACAGCCTGACACCCCTGGCTGCCCTGGCTGCCAGTCTTGTGCCCTTACAGTGTAGTACAAGCTGTGTGCACTTTGCCCACTAAGGTGAGTGTGGTAGAGATCTGCCTCTCCACCCCGTCTTTTTAGAAATTTACTTACATTTGTATTAGTTGCTTTTCTGCTGAAAATTCACCTCCGACTTCCCCCTTCTCCTAAAACTTTTTATTTACTTATTTTTTGGTTCTGGGAATCAAACTCAGGACCTTGTACTTGCTAAGCAGGCACTTTGCTGCTGAGCTATATCCCCAGCCCTCCCACAACTTTTTGAAAGGTGGTTTTATTCATTGAACCTCTAACTTTGACTCAAGTTTCACGTCAGAACAGATTCTAACAAGTTATTTACATTCTGAGATTTCATATCTCAGATGACTTCTTCTGACAGCTCTCACCCAGATGCACAACCAAGTTTCCTGCTTTCTTTAAAAAGGACTGTCTGCTCCCATAGGTTCCCTTAGGACAAGTGTAATGCTAATGAACACCCCAAACTCCCAGCTGTCTCCATAGGCTGGTTCCTCCCGTAGAGCCAGCCTTGGTTGGAGAACATTCCTGCAGCCAGAAAGATGATTCCTTTTCTTGTCAAAGGCAAAGATACATCATGGGTTTAAGATGGAGGCTGGGAACCGATTCACTGACTGATTAAAATAAATTTAAGTTTTCTTTAAAAGTGGCCAGAACTTTTTTTTTTTTGATAACAGGGATCATAAATATTGACAATAGATCTAAAGTTTAATTTTTCCATTGTAATACTCTTACTAGAAACCTCAGCATGGTGGTGCATGCCTGTAATGCCTGTAAGCACTTGGGAGCTGAGGCAAGAGGATCATAATGATACTAAGACAGCTTGGGCTACAGAGTGAGACTCCATCTCTAAAAACATACAAGCAAATAAAAGCACCCTTATTAATAAGGATGCAACAACACCTACACCCAGACAGTCCTTTCTAAAACTTGGCCTTGTATTTACCCTCTTACTCTCCCATCTTGTCTTTGTTAAGCCCTTGATTTATGTCTCTGCTGTATTGACACAGCATCCACAATTCAACCTCATCCTGGAATGCAGTAAGAGAAATGGAAAAAAGACCTCAAAAATGTCAGCCTGACAATCCTTTGTCCCAGGTGACTGTGTGAGAATATGTTCTTTTCTTCTCACCCTCAGTTCTAGAAAATAATTGCTTGGCCTTCTGTCTTAGCAGTGGTTTGTAAGATCATCTTTCTTGGCCACCATATCCCCTCCTGGAGACACTGACTTGGTGCAGAGTGCTCCACTAAACCTGCCTGGTTCCCTCCCAAGCACACTCCTGACTTGTGGCAGACTCATTGGGTGCCAGCAAGATGGTTACCAGCACCTCATTTGGATCTATTATGGCAAGGGAACTCCTTAGTAAGTAAAAATGCAAACACGGTACTATCACTGTGTGACATCATTACCATCCATTGCCTCCAGCATGAACCTAAGCCAGGAAAGGTAGGAGTAAGAACCTGCTGGATCTGTACATCTTGAAAAGTGGTGGTTTCCAGGCCCAGTACCCTGACATGAAGCCAGTCATCAATGACTTTTCACTTCTGTAAGCTTTTCTGAATTAATGCTTCCCTGTCTTTTTTTTTTTTTTTTTTGTCTTTCTCCTTTTTATTGGCACCAGGGATCGAACTCACGACTGCCTGCTTGCAAGGCAGGCGCTTATGCCGCTGAGCTAAATCTCCAGCCCCTTTTTGTTTTTTTTGTTTTGTTTTGTTTTTTATCGGTACCGGGGATCGAATTCATGACCGCCTTATGCTTCCCTGTTTTTAAAAGACAAACGTGAGAACACTTTGGAATGGCTTCCTGCAGCCATAAACAGAAGAGGGAGTCAAAACCACATCACCACTTGACACTTGCTCGGAGGGAGAGCTTACATGGGCCATATACTTGAAAAGTCAAATTGCAGCTAGAAATTTAACTTCGGCTCATGAAATCTAAGAAGGCAAATATCTGAACTGAGTGACCAGTTCAGTGTCATCACAGGAATGTACCTGTCCCCACTCCAAGACCAACCCAGACCCTGTGTCCAAACTTGCACTTAGTATCCAGTGTCCCCATAACAGAGGACACATTGACTGTCTGCTGGTGCTTGCCTTTTCTACTGAGTTTGTTTTGTTTTGTTCTGTTTTTTGGTGCCAGAGATTGAACTCACAACCTTACGCTTACCAGGGCAGGTGCTTACACTGCTAAGCTAAACCCCCAGGCCCTACTTGCTTTTTCTAAACAGCTCATTTGGTTAAGTTGCTGTGCTAGGTCCAGAAATCCTGCATTGGAAGACTTTGACTTGTGTTTTAAAATCCCAGGTCTTCGGGGCTGGGGATTTAGCTCAGCTGCATAAGCACCTACCTTACAAGCAGGCAGTCGTGAGTTCGATCCCCGGTACTGATAAAAAGGAAAAAGACAAAAAAAAAAAAAAAAATCCCAGATCTTCACACATGCTTGGCAAGTGCTTTACCACTGAACTCTCCCTAGCTCTTTAGGCCTATTTTTAGTAAGCACTTACAAAATTTATTTGAAAGAAGTAAGGCTGAAGAGAGAAGGGCAAGAAACCATAACTGCCTTCAAGCACTACGGAGAAGGAGAACACAGTGAGGCTGCATTCCTCCAAGACGGAGGTGAGAATCCCCGAGTGCTCCTTGGCAAAGCTCAGAGCAGAGCTGCTGCTGAACAGGTAGGAAAGGAAAGGAGTTTCCCCGCTTCTGCGTGCCCTCTGGTAAAGCAGTCGAAACAGCACGGAGAGATAAGTGCGGTTTTGATGTGTGGCAGTGGGAAGAGGACACATGCGCCCTACTCCTAGCCCAGCTTCTTCCCTGGCTTGGTCTCCCCTCTACAAGACCATCAGACTGAATGAATGATTTTCAAGTTATACTTGGAAGATCAGGAAGAGGCTCCTCAGAGTTGATTCAGGGCCTAGTGTGTTCAACAAAAATAGCACTTCTTAATCGTTTTGGTTTCCGTGCCAACTATAATTTTTTTGTTGTTTGGTTTTGGTTTTATGAGACAGGGTCTCACTGTGTAACCCAGGCTGACCCTGAACTCTCATTGATCCTCCTGCCTCAATGGCCCTTGAGTACTAAGATTACACGCATGTATCACTATGCCAGCAGCTATAACTTTTAAAAGTGACTTTAAAACACTGAATTTAGCCAGGTGTGGTGGTGCGCATCTGTAATTCCAGCACTCAGGAGGCTGAAGCAGGAGAATTGTTGCAAGTTTGAGACCAGCCTGGACTACAAAAGTGAGCTGAAGTGAGACTGTCTCAAAAAGACAAAAAAATTAATTAACTAACTAACTTAAAAATACTAAACTTGCTTCTCTCTAAAGTTTCCCGCCAGCCCTAAAATGTTATGATTCACATTTTAAAAAATTGAAAAATAAAGCCAGGCATGGTGGCACATGCCTGTAATCCCAGCACTGGGAGACTGAGGCGGGAGGATTACCGAGAGTCCTAGGCCAGTCTAAACTACAGAGTGAGACTATCTCAAGATAAAAAACAAAACAACTGAAATAATCCAAATTAGGTGACAGTGTAACAAGTTGTGTGTTAGTTTATACAAGTAAAACCTAATTTGGATCCAGCTTGATATCTTCCACTTTTATTATCAGTATTTACGCAAATAAAATATATAAAAAGCAGTCATTGTTTCGCCTGTCAAGGCTACTGTGCAGCTGATTCTGCAGTGGGATGAAAATCTGCTTGGAATTTTGTTTTGGAAAGAGCAGTAGTTTGGAAACCTATCGATCTGGCTCAATGGAATGGCCTAACCTTAGGGAGAACTAAAATGTGTCATCTGAGGTCAGGTGGAGAGAGCCTGACTGTGGAGTCAGAAGGCCGCTGTAGCAATCCTGATCCTTGCTATGAGTTTGCTGTGTGGCCCTCAGGGTCCTTCCAACTCTGACCCTGCCCCCTTGTTCTACTGACTGATCGCTGGCTTCTCCCTTGCTGCCTTTTCTCCCCTGGAATAATCACGTTTGGCAAACACAGCCACATACCTCACAGCGTGCAGAGAGGCTTCTCTTTAGGCTGAGTCACTTGTATCTGCAAAAAAAGACACTTTGGACCACACCCTTAAAGCTCAAGAAGTGTTTCTTTTCTAAAACCCAGCACTGACCTAGCTCACACCCACCTGAGCTCTGAAAGGCGCCCCTTAATCATCGGGAATCCTCTCCTTGGTGCCAGGCCCGCATTTGGCCAACAGGCACTGTGTCCATCTTCTGGGCACAGTTGTCTGCACTGAAAGCTAACAAAACAAAGTCCTTGACCTCTGCGTTCACTCTTGTGGCAAAGAAACAAACGAAGCAGGTACATAGGATGCCAGCTGGGGAAAAGGATCAGAGAGCAGAGAGAGGGAAAGGGCACAAGGGTAAAGTGCGGAAGCAGGAGTCATGATTTGAGGACACAGAAAGAAGTCGGGAATTGGAACTGAGAGTTGGAATTGATTGGCTTACTTAGAAAGCAAAGTAATTAAGTTCAGAAACTAGGCTAGTATACATTTGGATTCCGTGAAAGGGACCTTATCGACGGTTTTAACAGAGGGTTGCAATGATCAGTCTTACAGTTCAACAGTCAAGCGGCCTAGAGTCAGGGGAAATGGAAAGACAACGCAGTTTTAGCACGCATACCTCGTGTGATCCTAACCTACAAAATGTGGGCTCAGGCAGGTCCAAGCTCCACTGTCAGGCTCTCTTATGACACACAAAATAGGAAAAAAAAAATTAAATAAATAAAAACTTGTTTAAAAAAAATTAAGGGAAGACATTGCTTGTCACTCCAGCCTGGTCAGAGCACTGTGGTCAAAGTGACACCTTGGTTAGTGGATGAAGTAGTCTGCTTATACCTGCAGGTCACAGAGTTAACCACTTGGTCCTTATCTGTCCTCTCCCTCCTTGTCACATAACCTTCACCCGTCAGTCCCCAAGCAGGGTATTTACCCACCTCATCTCCACCAAGACACAGTGTGACACCACCTGCTTGCTGGTGTGACGGCCACCCCAATCCATGTGTCACGTGGAGGAGGGATACAGGCGCCCTCTCAGTTCTGGGGCCAAGGAAGTCTTGGAGCAGCTAGCAACCTGGGGCCCTCTGGGAATGCCCCATGGCTCTCAGCAGGGTCGGGCTCAAAGAACCCTGGGAGGTCACCAAGCCCACCAAAGAGGCAAGGGCTGCTCTGCCCTGGGGGCTGCAGACTTAAGGAGAGAATGTTTTCACCTGTCCTTGACACCTACCTCCCCCATTAGGGCTGAGTCTAAGTGGGGAAGAGAAACTCCCTAGTCTGCTCACATTCCTTCCTCTCTTCTGGGCATTCCGCAGTCTTCTCCAGGCCCTTAGGTGGCGCTGACGCCGGAAGCAAAGAGGGTAGTGACCTGAAATCCTCCAGCTGTCACAGGGCTTGAACTCAAAACAAAGGTGTTTGCTGCCTTTGTTTTTGTTTCAGTCTTGTCTTTGGGACCATGGAGGCCTCTTGATAAATCCAGTGAAGCTGGGAAGTGGGGTGTGGCTTTTCTTCTGGAAGGCTCCCTATCATGCCAGCCTCACCCCCAACCTTCAAAAATAAAGCCTGGCCGGGTTTTCTTTCACATGGGGCAATTTTGTCAAATTTTTTTGGCCCAGAGTTACAAGAGCTGCTGTTGATACCTCTGCAGGGCAAAGGAGACCAAACACTGAAGCTCGGCTGCCCCTCCTAGGAAGCTGCATTATTCTTGGGCTGCTGAGTACACAGCACGAAAAAAGACCTGCTGTGGATTTATTCCGAGTCTTTCCGCCAGCCACACGTGGAGGTCTCAGACTTGAGGCTGCAGCAAGCATCTAGTCCTCAGAGGGCCAGGCAACTCCAGCCACTGCCCTGGCTGCCAGGGATGTAGAGGTAAAAGCCAGCCTCAGACCCCAAGAGTTTCATTGTCTGTTTGGGGAGATAGACTCTGAACCCCAGAATTCCAGCAACGTGGAGGACAGAAAAGAGGAACGTTCACAAAAGAAGCAGCCTTGGCCACATTGTTTTTTAATAACAAAATTTGCATAGAAAATGACAATCTTTGTAATAATTTACACAGTAACTGAAGAACTGTGTGGTGGCACACTTCTGTCATCCCACTTGCTTGGGAAGCCAAAGTGGGAGAATTACAAATTCAGGACCAACCTGAGCAACACAGTAAGGCCTCAGAAGAAAAAGAAATTCCAAGAAAAGTGTCACAAAACACTTTAAGACTCACAATCCAGGAAAGACCAGCATAAAATGACACAGTGTAACTTTATTGGAATTTATACAAGAGAAAAACAAGCCACTAATAAAGTAAAGGAATCTGTGCAAAAGTCCAGAGTACAAAGTAACAATGAGCCAGGTGTACTTGGAACACAGAGTACCTGCGAGGGAGTGGCCAGCAGAGTGACCACTGCCGGGAAAGGGCTGTGTCTATTTTACATGAAAAGCCCAGGCCTAGGGTTGGCACTGGGAGATGCCTGTAAGTACAGTGTGTACTAAAGAAGTGAGACACAGGCATGGCAGGCAGAGGCAGCATGGAGGTGAGGAGAGAAAGGCCCCGCGGGCGGCCCACTAAGTACATGTTAATGAGATTTCTGTCATAATGATAATAGAGCAGTCTCTATTTAATGAGCTCTCAGACACTCCAAGACTTAAATTGTGCATTTTGCACTATTAGTCCAATTAATTTTCATGATAGCATTGCACAAGAATTCTTATTGTCATTTTATATCCAAGGAGACAACTGCAAAGAAATAGCCAACCTAGGTACAGTGGCACAGGACAATACATAAGTACAAATGGCACAAAACTATAGTCTGGAGAACACAGAATTTATCTATACAATAGAAACTGGGGGTATATACCCATTATCCCAGCACTCGAGACTCTGAGACAGGGGGTACCATACCCATTATCCCAGCACTCGAGACTCTGAGACAGGGTGATCCCTGTGAATTCAAGGCCAGCCTGAACTACATAATGAGATTCTCTCTCTCAAAAAAATTAAACCTGCCTGAGTCCACATTTTGTAGGTTAGGCTCACACAAGGTATGTGTGCTACTGAATTAAAGGTGCTAGCAGCAGCTAGGTACAGTGGTACACACTTGTAAACCCAGCTTTGTGGCTGAGGCAGAAAGATTGTAAGTTACATAGCAAGACTTCGTCTCAAAAAACAGACAAACAAAAGATGAATACCCCAGATCTACCAGGTGGTAAGTGAGAATGTAGACCCCAGAAGATGCTGTTAGCACATTTCTGTCTTTCCAAAGAGGACTTTGGAAAAAGTCTTTGGTACCAGCAGCAATGCTGCAATAGCACGTCCCATATTCCCATCAGAGAACTTTGCTTACCTTGTAAGCTATTTTGGTCTACTAAAGTTACCTTGGTCTACTGAAACCAGTCTTACTACTTTGTAATCATACATCACCAGTAAACCCTAAAATCATTAAAAATGGTTAAAAATGAGCACTCACAGGATCAGATTTAAAACATACATTCTTTCCCAGGATGAATAGTTTCCTTCTACTGTTCTGACGACTTATCCTGGGACCTTATTTTATTTTAATGAATCTTTTGGGCTGGGTTCTGTGCCATGGGGAGTGAAGAGAAGGGAGTAAGCTAGAGGGACCTAGAAACCTGGGGCATTGCCTGCAGCCTGAGCAGGGGACCCCCTGAGGAAGTGGTTTCCATCAGGTGTGGGGCAGGAGTGAAAGGGATGACTGATCTGACTGCAACAGGCTGATATGATCACGCAGGGGGAAGTGGTTTAGGGGAAAGAATGTTTTTTTAAGTAGCAGTCAGGATTCTGAGGTTTGGCTCTCTCTACCTGCCTTGGCACCATTTGCCAAGTTCCTGGCTCATACATTGTCCTTTACCCTTCCAGTGGCTTAGAACACTGGCCCCAGCCACCAGTCACCCATGCCATGGGTCTTGAGACATATCCTGGTTCTTGCTCAGACCTAATCCAAAAGATGCATGGACAGAAACCCAGGTTACAGCCCCCAAACCAGCTGCTCCAAAGCCATGTCTCTTTCTGCCAGGACAGGGTCCTAGAACAGAGGGCAATGAAGGCCTGGGATGGCAGAGCTCCAAGAGAGCTGGCCAGGGCCATTCTGTAGCCCTCTAGGGCCCAGTGAGAGCCTGGATGATGCAGCTCAGAACTGTGGCTTGGGGAAGTTGAGGATGTTGGGTATGTACCGCTAAGAGATCTGAAAGAGACTGGTGACAAGGGCACCAATGTCCCTGTCATTCACTTGAGATTAGTGAGATCAGAGAGCATCCTCACAACAGTTTCCTTAAAGCAGTACTAAGTTTTGAACCCAGGACCTTCACATTGAGCTACATCCTCAGCCTCCCATCCCCTATCCCCTTTTTAAAATTTTTTTATTTTTATTTTTGAATTTTGAGACAAGGTCTCAGTAAGTCACTAAATTGCCCAGTCTGGACTTGAAATTACAATCTTCCTGCCCCAGCTTTCCAGAATGCTGGGATTATAGTTATGTGCTGCCACGCCCAGCCTCATGACAGTCTTAGAAGCCTTTTCATGTTAGACTCCCAAAATGTCGTGTTTCTAAGGATGAATAGGGGCAAAATGGAGGAGAGTTTGAAACAAACTTTGAACAATCTTCAGAGCTCAGGACATTTTGTGTAGAGCCTGGGGAGAACCACCTGGTGGTGACTCCACCATGGCACACTACTTGGGTCTGCAGAAGAGCCCTGGCAGCAGAACAGAGCTGCAGCTGGGAGCCCAGAGGAGCAGGGGGAAGAAAGGATCCCCAAGGCTCTGCTAACTGGCCTCAGCTCTGTTTGTAGGCAGTTTCCAGAACATTAGTTCTCAGGGTGTGAGCCCTAGACCATTTCTACCATAGCACCTGGAAAGGGTAGATTTTTTTTTCCCCTCAACCATGGCAGTCAGGAAACAGAAACTAGAAAGTGCAGACTTAAAAAGCCTGTCCCCTCTGAGTGTTCTGCCACTGAATCAGATACAGGAGCTCCTTAGAGCTGCTCAAAGCATTCCGACCCTAGACACTTACAAATCTCTCTGCAGGGCTCAGAAACCCAAGGGCGGGCAGTGCCGACCCCTCTCCCTGCCCCATTTTGCTCGCCATGCACCACAGCCCACCTGGCAAGGCCAGGAGCAGCAGGCCAAAGATAGGTTTTCTTCGATCTATCAAGAGCCGCGCAGCACTTCCTGTGCCCCATGCTTCATTAGCACATTGGTGGTGTTGCTTCCTGCCACTGACTCGCTGTTTCCATTCTGCCAAGGCGGTTTGCTGTTTTCGCTCTGCCTCCGAGGTTGGAGAAAGATGAGTTTCTCATAGAGCCTCTCCCGGGCCTGTTGGCAGTTTGTCCTTCCGTGCCAGTTGTGTTTCCAGCGGAAGACGGAGACGGAAAGCTGTCCAGGAGCCACCTCGCGCTGGAAGCCTGGCACCTGATAGTGTTTGCCTCCCACAGCAGGCCTTGGGGCCACCCCAGGTAGGACCAGACCTGTGGTTTTTGTGTGCTGAGTAAAACTCAGCCTGGCATGGCAAATTCAAGGTAAAGAGTCTGTTGAGGGGAAGAAGATTCTAGAATAAAAGAGGAACCAAGCTTTAGAAATGAAGAAATGAAAACCAAAGACTTTGTTTTTGTGAGGGACTTTGGTGAATGAAGATTCTAGGAAGAAGAAATTTTGAGAATAAAAAGGTGTGCTAGGGAGTGTTTGCCACCGTGCTGATTAGGAGGTCTTCCGTCATTCTTGTATGAGTCACTAGAAATTAAAAATATAGGTGCGTGTTTGGAAACTGCGATCCAATTTGCCTTTTCTCCGAGGAGCCAGCAACATAGGAAGAGTGGCAGACACTCTGCATGGCGGTCATGATTGACATCAGAAGCAGAGCCTAAAGCCAGAGAGGACTGCAGCGGTCCCCCGGAGGATGGCCGTCACCCCAGCCCCTTCAGACCTTGCAAGGAGGACATCGGACACCAGCACTCGGATGGTGACTTTCAGCAGCCTGGAAGAGTGAGTGACTTGGGTGGTGAGCTCCCCTCCCCCCTGGTTAGACACTTAAGCCCATCGAGTCCAGAGTGTCCAGCCCAGCAGAGCTGCTGCCCTCACAGCCAGCCATGGGGTCCTGAGGAAAGAGCGGCTGTGGGAGGGAGAACTGCTGGCTGGTTTCTCTCCTCTGAGCCCAGATTTCTGTCCCCAAACCTTCCTCTCAGGATAGAAACAAAAGGCCCGATTTCCCAGTGTGTTTTAGATCCTAAAATCTTGCCACAAGTGGAAAATGTAATCGTAGTTATAATAAAATGTCTCTTTAGAACATAAAATCTCACCAAACCACTTGTAGATGCAAATTCAATGCAAATGGTTTCAAATCTCATACAAACAAAAGAGATCCATCAGGGGTGGAAATTTTAGGGACATAGGTATATATTTCAGGACCATGTTAAAAAGAAAAATCATTTATAATAAAATCTTAAATTATTATCATTTGGGGAATTAAACGTTATCACCAGAGCAACCATATGTTATTTGCAGGTAAATGTGGGCATTGATGAGGAGGAATAAATTCGTAAAAGCTGTCAGAAACATGAAGCACCCTAAAACTATTTTTTTCCCTAAAACTAATTTTTAAAATTTTATTTTCCACTTGACAAAACTTGAATATATTCATTGTGTACAGCATTGCTTTGAAATATGTATATATGGTGGAATTGCTAACTTGAACTAAGCAATTTACCCAGTTTCTCACCTACTATGGTGTATGTGTTGTGTATGTGTGTGATAATGCTTGAAATCTACACTAAACAGTGGTCGGGAGGACCATACCTTGTTTTCAACAAAACCATGTTGCGTAATAGAGCTTTGGAATTTGTTCCGTCTGTCTGGCTGAAATTCTGCATTCTTTGATAAGTATCTCTGCACCCTCACCCCCGCATCCCCTGGTAACCACCATTTTGCTCTCTACTTACATGAGTTTAACTTTTTTAGATTCTATGTCTAAGTGAAGTCACGCAGCATCTGTGTTTCTGTGCCTGGTTTACTTCAGTTAGCATAATGTCCTTTGAGTCCCCTCAGCTGTTGTGAATTGACAACAGTATTGATTGTGTAGGTTTTTTGGGGAGGGGGGTTGTTTTTGTGTTTTGTTTTTGGTTTTTGGTTTTTGATACTAGGCTTGCCAGGCAAGCACTTGTGCCTCTGAGCTATATTCCTGACCCTCTATTGTGTACATATAGTACATGTGTACTGCATTTTCTTTTTTCTTTCATTGACTGATGCCATTGTGATTATGGGCATATAGACATCTCCCAAAAGACGTGGGAGTGGTCTCCTTTATTTTGGATATATAACCAGTAGTGAGACTGCGGGAGCTTATGATAGTTCTAATTTTAATTTTTTGAAGACTTTCTGTACTGTTTTCCATAGCTGCTCTAGTGCCCTCAAAATGATGTCCCTGGTCATTCTTTTATTACGATTAGTAGTGGCAGTGGTGGTAGTAGCAGTAGAAGTATATCACCTATTCACTTATTTAATTAGTCTTCACTAAGCTCCTACCAAGTTCCAGGCACTGTTTAAGGCACTAGGTGAACAAGATAGCCAAGCCCAAGAGATCCTGAAGGTTATGATCAGAGGAGTGTCAGATGACAAGCAAATAAATACAGGAAGGTATAATATGGTATCAATCAGGTAGAGTTCTTTGAAGAAAAAAATAGAACAGCATTAAGGGAACCGTGGCCAGGGCAGTCCTACCTGAGGAAGTGACATTTCGGAAGAGATCTGAATGGGATGAGGGAATGAGCCAGCGAACAGCTGCCCGAGGAGTGGTCCAGGGGGGAGAGGCAGATCTGAGAAAAACTGTGCTGCATCCGGGTGTGGAAGGGCAAGGCACGCTGCCAGTCATGTCCATGGGAAAGTGGTGGGGAAGGGGTCAGGAGCTAGCGGAGGTCAGGTCCTGTGGTGCCATAAAATCCTCTCAGGGTGAGGACCACAAACTTTGAGGTGTGACACTATGGAGGTGACAAGCACAGGAGGGACGAGATCTGACTGGGTGCTCTCAGCGATCGCTGTCACAGTGTAAAGATGGTGTGTTGGGGGTGGGGAGAGCGTAAAGGCCAAGAGAGCCATTAGGAAGATCCATGGCCGTGTCCATGTGGAAACCACACTGGTGGCAGTGGAGGAACAAGTGGTGACTGGGATAGGGTAGATGCCCATGCCCAGGGTAAGGCAGACAAAATGTGCTGGGACATGAAGGAAGGCAGTCAAGAACCATACGGAGATTTTCAACTATGCCACTGAACAGCAAGATGCAGGAGAAGAAGAGTACGTCTGGGGAGGGAGTACCGGAGCTCGATTTGGTTTGAGATGTCTGTCAGGCAAGCTGGTGGAACTGTCCCGTAGCAAGCTGAGTAAATAACCCCAGAGCTCAGGAGGACAAAAGGCTTCCCTGATAGGTGTCCTGTTTTCAGCTGCCAGCTCCTGCCATTATCTTCCACTAGCCACTTCCTGTTGGAGTAGGTATAGCCCCTTGGGGTTGTGGTCATCTGGGTACTGTTCAACACCCAAGCAAAGCGAGAGTAAGGCCAGCCCGGCCAAGGAATTGCCAGATAGCACAGAACTCAGATTGGTTAAATTCCACATAGCAGTTGGGTGTTGCTAGGACACTGGCTACACAAGTTAGGGTTACTCCAGTTCATACAAATTGGCCTTTGTCACGGAACCACTCCCTGGGAATTGGGTAATCTTCTCCTCTAAGCAAACCCGGAGGCCCCAGAGTGGGGAACTGGGGAAAGCAGAGCAGATGGTTTTGACTTGACTGGGACTGGGAGGATGGTGTGGGAAGGAGGGAAGAGCGTGACCTTGAGGTCGTACCTGGCCTAGACTCACGTTTGAGCTTTGTGCCTCCTACCTGTATCGTCTTGGACATGTTACTTGTTGTTTCTGGGTTCCTTAACTACCAAGTTAGGTAGGATTGTTGCAAAGCTCCATGCCCTAAAGGAAATGTCTTCCTCAACCTCCATCCCTACTGTCCTATGGCCCGCTAGGACAACAGAACTTGGTTTTTCTTCTAGGGGTAAAGACCAGAGCAGCGGCATCCTTTCTGGGTTTGCAGGACTCCTTGCCCTCCTCCTGATCATCACAGCTTTCTGCATCCTGTGGAACTGGAACAAAAGGAAGAAGCGTGAGTCTCTTGTTTGCACCAAGTTGAAACATACTAGCATTGCAAGCCATAGCTTGGCATTGATACCCAGTTTGTTTTCCAGCCATTACTTTTTTTTTTTTTTTGGTGGAATGGGAGACTGACTGCAGGACCTTCTCATTGAACTACATCCTCAACTATTTTATTTTTGACTTTGAGGCTTTGAGGTGGGATCTCACTAAGTCACTAAATTGCCCAGCCTGTCCTCAAAGTTGTGATTCTCCTGTTTTAACTCTAAGAGTGCTGGATTATGGGGGTGCACCATCAGTAATAAGTTACCGCATTGGGGAGTCATCACATCATTTGACACGCTGGTCTTGAGCTGTGGCCCTAGGACTTTCTGGTTCCCCTACATCCAGTTACTTCTTTTGCTTTTGTCTACCTAGTGTCCTATTCCTTCTAGCTCACAGTGAAATTCTTCTAGCTCAAGTCTAAAAATACATTTTTTATTTACCTGGGAGGGTGGGGAATACTTCCAGGAACCATCTTGTCTCCATGCATCCCCACATTCTGTGCACCTGACCCCTCCATGACTCCCATCTCTCCTATCACCTTGCAGGACAAGTTCCTTACCTCCGAGTGACTGGCATGCCCTCATTGACCCTGCCTCAACCCAGACAACGGGCCAAAAATATTTACGACTTCTTGCCTCGCCGACAAGAAGAGCTAGGTATGTTTCTATTACTCTGTGGAGCCCTGATGTTCTGAACTTCTGCTTCCAGAATGCACCTGTCACTACTTGGAAGCAATTCTCTCTATGCTTCCAGACAGTTCTGCACTGGAACTGTTCTGAGCACTGGAATTGGAATGGAATGGAATGGAATGGAATGGAATGGAATGGAATGGAATGGAGTGGAATTTTGGAATGGCTGTGGGCTGCATCTCCGGGGGGCAGGGCCCTCTCAGAAGGCAGTGAAAAATCAGCTGGACTCTGGCCTTTGGTTTTCTTAGTGCTGAGGAAGCAGAAGAGAGCAAGTGCTCAGACACTGAAATCACCTGTGAGGAGACCATGGTGCTGGCATTCTTGGGAGAGGATGGGGGGGCGGGGAGTCCCTCTTTGGGAGCCTCCAAGGAGGCATCCACAGCGGCCCACAGCATATCCTCCCAGTAGCTCTGACCCTCTCATCACAGAGCATCAGGGCCCAGGCTAGACATGCCACATTCAGCCACTATGTGGGACCGTTTGGGCAGAAGTCTTGAGAAGACTGCCCATCTTGAGAACTCATCTCTGTCATTTCAGGGAGGCATCCGTCAAGAGGTATCCGCATTTTCAGTGCTGAGAGCCTCATCTCCAGGACCTCTGACAGCCCTGAGCATGTGGTAAGGAGGCCCAGGGATGTAGATCAGGGCTAGCACTTGCCTGGCACACACAAGGCTCTGGATTCCATCTCCAGAAACACACAAAAAAGACAAGAGTTACATGAAAGGACAAGGCCCCTGAGCCAAGGACAGGTGTCTGGCAGGAGCACTGAGGAAATGAGGCCTGGGTCTCAGATCTGCTTTCACCACAGACCGCACTTTGCTTTGGCCCTGCCCTGTAGCCCTATTAATAAATCGGGACAACTAATCTCATGATCTGCCGACTGCACATGACAAAAATTAAGAGAGGCAGGAGCCAGTGCTCAAGGTTTTAAGAAAGGTACCTGTGGCCAGATGTGGAGGTACCCAATTGCAGTCCCAGCACTCTGCAGACTGAGGCAAGAGGGTCACAGATTGAGCCCAGCTGGGGCAACTTAGTCATTTAGCAAGAACCTGCCTCAAAATACAAAAATTTAAAAGACTGGGAATGTAGCTCAGTGTAAGAATCCTCGGTTCAATCTCCAGTATTAGAATACCCCCCTAAAGTCACATGTATTCAAGTACCTAATGTCAGACCTGAAATTGATTATTTTACAAAGACATTATAATGTGTTTATCTAAATGAATGCCGTTCCCTTCAAAATAGTCACCCCAGGAGGATACAAAACTATCCCACCAATGCTGTTTATATTCAAAATACTTAAAAACCTGCTGTAGGAGTTCTAGGCCTGTGTTAAATTGCTTCTATTATGTTCAGTAGCAGAAATCTCAGTGAGTCATTGAACACTGAAGCTGATGCAGAAAGTGATCACATGAGGATGTCTTGGTTCATTCTGAGTAAATTATAACGTACGGAAACATATGGCTTCCCATTCTGGAAGCTGGGAAACCTCAGATCAACAGGCTGTGTCTGTTGAGGGCCTCCTTGGTGTATCATAACTTGGAGAGAGAGAGAGAGAGAGAGAGAGAGAGAGAGAGAGAGAGAGAGAGAGAGAGACTCATTCTTTTCTGAGGAACCCACTCTTGTGCTTATTTCAGCAGCACATATGCTGAATTCGGGGGCCCACTCCTCCCATTTCTTAAGGGTCCCCCCTCTCAACACTGCTGCACTGGGTACTAAGGTTCCGGCACATGTACGTTGGTTGGGAGGTGCATTCAAACCATAGCAGCGGTAACCATGAAGGTTACACGAGGAGCGTCACAGCTGATAACCCTGATTCTGGGTGTTTCATGATTTGAAGGCCACTATCCCAATGATCGGTACAGAGACAGTGGACAGACTTGGGAGATCAGGGCGCTGACTTTCTTAAATACACAGCTGATCTGCTTAACCTTCAGCCCCCTGATTTTGTGGCCTTCTGAGGAAGAGCCTGGGGATATTCGGCTCCTCATTACCCAGGGGCGCAGGCTCGGCAGCTACACCACCACCCAGCAGTACTGCTGCCTCCTCCTTCTCCCACTTGGTGGCTTCTGCTCTCGCCTGTCACCTCTTCTGGGCACAAGTCTGAGTGCCTGAGAAACGGCAGAGAAGAGGAAACGCCACTGCCAAAGCCAGTGCCAAGACTTGAGTGGTCCCTTGGCAGGGAGCGGGGTGGGGGGCATTTAGAGCTTAAACTGCAGACTGCCTGGTTTGGACTCCATAGTGCTTGAAGAACATTTTTAAATCAGTTCCAGTGTTTAAAACTTGAAGACATTTCACCTTGAAAGTCCAGGTGTTCAGGTTTTCTTAAAATGTCAGAAGTTCTGGAAACCATCGTCCTTAGGTGGCAAGAACTAGCCGCGTCTGCTTAGCAGCTGTTCCTCTTATGAGAGTGAGTACTTTCCAGTGTTCTGGTGCTGTGGCTGTGTTGTTTTCCCCTCTCCTTGGGATCTAACCCAGAGAGTGCTGAATTATACCCTCAGTCTTTTTTTAATTTAGAGACAGTGTTTCTCTAAACTCCCCAGGCTGTCCTTGAATTTGTGATCCTTCAGCTTCAGCTTCCTGAGTAGCTGGGATTACAAGTGTACACCACCAGGATCAGTTAGTTTTTAGGGTCTTCGAAGTGCCAGGAGCCCACTTTATAGCTAGTAATCCATTTAACCCTCATGCAAACCTTATAAGGAAGATATTATGACTGTGATCACTTTATAAAATAGGAAATGAAGGCACAGAGGGATCGGAAAAGAGCTCAGGCTCACTTGATATCAAGTGGAGAGGCTGGGGTTTGCAGCCTGGTCTGCAGCAAAGCCTGTGCCTTCAGTCAACCCTGTGTGGCCTTGCAGTGTCCTCCAGGGAAGCAGGCTTTCTCCGCTGTGTGAGACTCCCACACTGCCCACTTCACTCCACACTGCACCCCCACACAGCTGCAGTTCGTCATCACATTTATCTACTCTATCTTACAGCAGATTTAATATTTCTGTTTTAATATTAAGATATTTGATCCATTCTGATTTTAGCTTAGTACATGGTGAAAGATATGGGTCCAGTTTTAATCTTTGGCATGTGGAAAGCCAGTTTTTCCAATACCATTTATTAAAGAGGCAATCTTCCTTCCAGTGAATGTGTTTGGCACCTTTGTCAAAGATCAGATAGCTTAGTGTGTCTGAAGTTGTTTCTGCATCTTCTAATCTATTCCATACATCTCCAGGTCTGGTTTTTTTTGTTTTGTTTTTGCCAGTACCATGCTGTTTTTATCACAGTAGCTTTATAGTATAATTTCAAGTAAGAGATTGTGATGTCCCTGTCTTGCCTTTGTTGCCCAGTACTGCCTTTGCTATTCTCTCTTCTAATTCCAGATGAATTTTAGGATTTTCTCTAATTCTGTAAGATTTGCTATTGGAATTTTGATTGGGATTGCATTGAATCTGTGTAACAGTTTTGGAGGTATGGCCATTTTCAGTATATTAGTTCTTCCTACCCAACAGCACAAGATATCCCTCTATTTTCTAATATCTTTTTCAATCTCCTTTTTCAGAGTACTACAGTTTTCAATGTAGAGATATTTTACATCCGTTTTAAGATTGATTCTTAGGTATTTCATTTTTTGGATGCTTTTGTAAAAGGTATCATTTCCCTGATTTCACTCTCAGTGAATTTGTTCTTGGTGTCCAGGAAGGCTATTGATATTTGAGTGTCAACTTTGTGATGCACGATTGCTTCCATTAAACCCTGCCCACTTCCCTTCTATCTGCCTGGCATCCAGAACCCTGCAGTTTGTGATCTCAGAGCTGTGGAGCTTTTCTCCTGGGGAGGGACTGAGGGACAGAGAGCAGGGCGGTGCTCAGAACAGAGGCTTTGGCCACATCTGGGCTCCAATCTTACTATGTTCTCTTCTCCTCACAGTCCTCTCAAGCAGAGAACATCCTCCAGAGACACCGCGTCTACATCCACACTGCGGGCTATGCGGTGGGTGTCTATGACAATGCCACTGTGCCCCAGACGTGTGGGAACCTCCCTCCCTCAGCATGCTACATCAATGTCACAGCTTCCAGGGATGGCTCGAGCGTATCCTCAGAGGAGTTAAATGATTATGTCAATGTGCCCACAGAAGAAGAGACTGCGGAAATGTTAACTTCTACAAGCAGCCCAGCTGAAAATGTCTTTGTCCTTCCACATGTCCAAGAGCTGGAGTTTAATGAAGAAGGACATGAGAGCTGTGGTAACACCAATGATGGCACCAGTGTTGGGTCTCCAGAAACTGAGGTCAACGATCCAGTCAGTGATGGGGAAGGTTCTTCTCAGACCTCCCATGACTATGTCAACATGACAGGTTTGGATCTTGGAGATGTTCAGGAGAAGGAGCCCCAGGTGGATTTTCAGAGCTACAGAGATTATGTAAATGTCCCAGCAGCAGCTCCCAATGGAAGCACGCAGCAGGTTGAGGAAGAAGAAATGTCTTCAACCACAGACTGTGGAGAGGGTGGGACAGATGGTCCAGAGACCCGCATCCAACCTGTCACAAGGAGATCCCTGTCTTCAGGGTGTTATGTGGCCCTTTGGCCATGCATACAGAGTGGGAACAGTCAGATGACACATGGAGAAGAGATGTCAGATGAAGACTCGGACGACTATGAGAATGTGCTGATTGTTGAGTCAGAAGGCAGGGACTGGGAGCAGGGGCCTGGTTCTCAGCTCCTTCCTGACCAGTGAGCACCTAGGGACCCAGCTGGACCACCTCAGGGAGTTGCCCACCCTGCTGGTCCTTAGCCGGTGCAGTCTAGTGAAGATGCCCAAGCACTCTATTTCAGTGGATTCAGTTGGTCAAGCCAACCAGGGCAGAGAGGAAGTGGGGAGATAACAGGCTGCATAAAAGTAAAGGTTTGGGAAAGCAGTTCCAAAGATGGGTTGTCTCTCACACTGCCCTCAGAATTTTTTGCTGAAACTGCTGGAATGGACTGTTGAGAAATAAAAAGCAAGATAGTGCTTAGTGCATAGTGGAAGCAGAGGCTAAAATAATTACCTTCACTAATGGACACTGCTCCAAAGCACGAGTGTAGATTATTTTGTGATCCAGGCAAAGGAAGGAAGAAGTAGGGTAGGATTGGACAATTTCCATTTTACAAAAGCTGTGGGCAAGGACATGTGTGTCCTACCTCTCTACGCTAAGAGTACTTGGAAGCTCTTGGTTTCTAAATGCTATGCTCCAGTCAAAGTAGCCAGAGCTGCTTGGAAAAGGTCTAGGGGCTGAGACAGGGAATATAGGATGAGCTTGTACATCAGGCAGGAAAGGAGAGGGGAAGAAGAGAAGAGAGAGAAGGTGACGGAGAGAGAGAGAGAGGGCAAGACAGAGAGACAGAGAGCAACCGAAAGAGCTCCCAAAGACAAAGCTAGAACAAGGTTAAATAAATAAAATAGATGAGTTCCAAATATGTACAGAAAGAATGAGGGAAACACAAAATCACCATGAGATACCACAGAACAAGTGCTGCAGCCAAATCCGCTCATGAACACTAAAATTAGTGAAACTTTAAGAAGAAGAAAAATGGCTGAGGATTTAGCTCAGCGGCATAAGCGCCTGCCTTGTAAGAAGGCAGTCGTGAGTTCGATCCCTGGTACCGATAAAAAGGAAAAATGCAAAAAATAAAAAATTAAAGAAGAAGAAGAAAAACATTGCCTAGCTTCCAAGAATCTTGAAAATATTTATTCATTACTGTGGTGATTTTAACACATATCCACAAAGTATTTGACATTTCCCTTGAAGTTTGATTCCCCTCCCCTTCAGTGCTGGCTAAATTTAGTGACACTTTCTAATGAATAGAATACTGAAGGAGGAAAACAGGGCTTTACAGGGGAGAAATGTGGCCTTAACCAAGGGACTGAAATCAACTTATCAGAGCAAGTCACATTGTGATCATGTGGCCCCTGATAGGATGATGAATAGCACCCCAAAACTCATCACCCAGCCTTATCATCAGAAAAATCCAAATTATATAACATGGTACAAAAAACCTGATCAGATCTATTTAAAGTGTCAGGGTCAAGAAAGAGGTGAAAGACTGAGAAACTAAGGCGTCACGATGACTAACACATAATGACGGCTCGGGCTGGATCCTGGAACGGCTACGACAAAGAAGGACCTTACTGGGAAAACTGCTGAGCTAAAAGACGTCCGTATTTTAGCTAGGAGTACTGTACGAGTGTTAAGTCCTTCACTTTTATAACTGGTCCATGGGTATGGAAGACGTCAGCATAGAGGAGAGTTCGGTAAGGGTATCCAGGAACTCGCTCTTAATTATTCTTGTAGCTTTCATAAATCTAAAAGTATTTCAGGATAAAAAAAATAACTTTAAAATATGGATAAAGGTGAAGGGGGAGACATGTGGGTTCATCCCATTTAAATAAAGGGGGGGAAATGTCTTTGTTCCCTCCACAAATGGATTCGACATAAATTATGTTTGTGTAGTTGTCCCAAGTATTGCGAGCTTTCTGCTTTGTTTTGTTAACATATATGCCCAACCTCTCCTTCTGCATTGCCTGCTGGAAAATATACTGATGTACTCTGTATTCACCTTGGCTCCTAGCATCAAGGTCAACATAAAGGCAGATTATTATTATTATTCTGTTCTAAGAATTGAACTCGCAACCTCGTGCCTGCCAGGCAGGTGCTGTGCTGCTGAGCTAGAGCCCCAGAGAAGGCAGATTACTGACAACTGATGATTAGTAAGGTGGTTCAGTGATCTTGCTTTCTCTCTTTCTGTTTTTTGGTAGCACTGGGTATTGAACTTAGGGTCTTTGCACTGTGACATATTTCTAGCCCTTGTTTAATTTTTATTTTTGAGATGAGGTCTTGCTAAATTGCCCATCCTGGGCTCAAACCTGACACCAAATATTTGGGGGTTTGTTTCCATACGAGCCAGTTCTCCTGCCTCAGCACCCCCAAGGGGCTGGATTACAGCTCACTTGGTGCTGTCACTTGGTGGCATAAAATATTGAGTGAGGTTCCTTCTGCTGTGGGATTCTAACTATAAAATACCTCACATGCTGAATTCAAAATTCACACTCTTCACCAGTGGACAATGAAAAGCCAGCCTCTCAGGCCTTACTTCCTGGCAGTGCATCAGAAGGCTGAGAGGTGACTGAGCCTGGTCACAAAGAGGAAGGTCTCCTTCTTCACTGTCTCCATCCCTAAGGTGGTCACCATCACCCTCCGCCCAAGAAGAGGGGAAGGGACAGTGCTGCCAGGATCAGGAGAGGCTGCTGTGAGCCAGCTGCTCCCGCCCCGTGGAATGTGGCAGGGGTAGTACATGTGAGCAGGGCACAGACCCTGGGGTTGGCGGTCTCACTGGCGCCGCTTCTGCATGGTGCCACAGCCGGAGGTCCCGTATGACTTGGGATACACAGACCACGCGAGGTGGCACTGCAAGTACCTGGGTGGGACAACAGATTGTTACAGAAATCTGATGACTATTGTGGCTACAGTTCTTCAGGGAAACCAGATTCTTTCTCTGTGATCAAAGAAAACAAATATTGCAGTCAAGCACGATAGAACATCTTATAATCCCCGCTGTACTGGAGGCTTATTGTCAACCTTGGCATCTTAGTGAGGCACTGTCTTGAAATAAAAATAAAAGTAAAAATGACTGGAGATGTAGTTCAGTGGTAGTGTGCCCCTGGGTTCAAACCCCAGTACTGAAAAAATAATAATAATAAATGAGTTTTGGTGGAAGCCTGAGGTAGATTTTTGGTGGAAGGCCTGTTATGGTTGATACATTGTGTCAACTTGAGAAGTTTGGAAGTTTAAGAGAATCAGCATGGAGCCAGGATTCTTACTTTGTAAATATCCTCATTCTGTGCAAGAGGAGGGCACAGAGGTGGTGTGAGTGCTACACCTTGTGGGGGAGGCGTTTGGCCTGCTTACAATCTAAGGGAGGAGAAGAGGCTTGTTCTCCCCAGTACCTTTTTTGCTCTGGCTGCTTTTGCTGGCTGCTGCCTTGAAGTACTGCCCCAGTGCCATGCCACCCTGTCGTGGAGCCAGCTGATTATGGACTGAAACCTCCACAAACAGCAAAATAAACCTTTCCTTCCTTCATTTTGGGTGTCAGGTGTTTTGTCCCAGCAATAAGAGAAAAGTAACCAAAACAGAGCCTGAGGCCAGCTGTAAGGCCAAAGGACATTTTGAGCTACAGAAGGAGTTTAAGCCAGCCTACCTCAAACAATCAAGCAAACAAACAAATAATCAAAAATGTTGGGTTTTGTCCCCCATTCCTGGCAGAAGTATGGGTGGCAACCTGAGACTTTTGATGGGTTTGAAGTGGGGGCACATCTGAGAGACATTGTAGGGGCCACACAAACTCCAGAATTGAATTCAAATGTAGAACATCCAAGTAGTGTTGGGCGAATTGGAGAACTGGCTGGTGTGGAAACAAAACTCCAAATATTTGGTGTCAAAAACCTTATGAGTAAAACCACACCACTACCCCACAAGTGGCTGGCATCTTAGAATGCACGGATAGCACCGTGCAGCTCAGTTCCAGTGGCCAGTTAGGGTCAGCCAGAGCAGCAACAAATGCAGAGATGACAAAACTGCTGATCACAAGGAGCACTTCCTCTCAGGCATGAAAATGAAGGGTATGTGGGTCAAAATATTAAATCTCGCTGTGAGAGAACTCTCAGAGCTAAGACGCAATGAAAAAACGGGCTCTCAATTAGATCTTCAAGCCAGGCACAGTGATAGACAGCTGTAACCTGGGAGCAAAAGCCAGAGGGTCCCAAGTTCCAGCTCAGCCTGGGCAACTTAGCAACGTACTAAGACTGTTTCTTAACAAATAAATAAACAAAAGAATACAAGTAAATAACTCAGTGTCAAGGGCTTGGATTCATACACAGTAGTAGGAGGAAGAAAAAGATTAGATTTTAACAAAGTTCTCAGGAACTATCTATCAACCAAAAAAAAGTACAACCTGTGAGGTGGGAGTAGGTCCTGGAAAAATTAAGCCAGCTCATGTTTATGCCCCAATAAACTGGACAGCTCAATAAGCCAGTTACACTCAAATACGGTCTCCCAAATTAAGAATATTAATAAACAGTTGATTGTCTCATATTAGGTGAGTAACCTCCCTATTTAGTTCTTATTCTGAGAACTTTTACAGCTAAACCAATGGAAAGCTTTTTATTAACTTTTCATTTTTCTTTCCTTTTATAGTTTTGTTTTCTTGCATTTGTTTCCAGGAAATTTTGAGCAGTTTTCTTGTCTCATATGTTTGCTAATGTTATCTATGAGGAAATTCTTTCAAGATTAGAAGCTGACAGAAAAGTAGATATAAAGATAGCAAGTCTGTTGCTGACTCCTTAATTAAAAATCACGAATTAATATTGAAACCTGTATTTACTGATTGTGTCCTTGTTCAGAATATTGTTTAACATACCACAGAAAGATTTGCTAAGTTCTCCACCCTTCCTTCCTTCCTTCAGGAAGACCCCATCCTGCAGTTGTGAGCAGAAGACAAGCCGTGCTCCTTTTAGATATCTCGCTTCCTGATCGCTCCTTGCTTTCATAGAATTTATCGTCATTTCTGGTTCTTCTGTGGACCAACAGCCAGCGAAAACTTGCAAACGTTTCCAGAAACACTAAATCAGAGGGCCAGTGGCCTGTTCCCCCCAAGCTGGAGTTAAATGGAAGGCACCTGAGGCTCTTCACATGACAGCCATCAGAGCCAGCCTCACAGACAAGCGACCTGTGCAGGGACATGAACCTAGGTAGAGCCGTCAGTATCTTTAAATTCTTTTTTTTAAAGGTCTCACTAAGTTGCTTAATTGCTCAAGCTGGACTTAAACTTCTTCTCCTCCTGCCCGAGCCTCCCAGAGTTCTGGGATTACAGGTGGGCTCCACCATGTCTGACCTGAAATCCTTAGCTTTGAAAGAAATTCTTCTCTTTGAACTTGTGTCTTATAAGTGAAATCTATTGAGATGATGGAGACACCATGCACACAATGTGCATGTCCAGCACTCCTGTCCCCCTCTATACATAAAATGTTTGTAGTGCCCCATGCTTGGAGGTCTCTGGGGGCCCCATGGTGGCAGTTAATCCTAATTGTTTGCTTGAACTGAATAAGAGACTTCTGGAGAGATGCCCATGGATTAATCTACTGGTGTTTATAGCAGAAAGTGCTGTAGGGAGGCGGAGTTTATTGAAGAAGGTGAATCACAGCAGTGTGCCTTTGCAAGACTTATCTCTTGCTGATGTTTTTCTCTTGGGCTCTGCTTCCTGTCTTCCATGAAGAGAGCATCTTTCTATGACCTTCTACTTTGATTTTTCTGCCATGGAGTCGCTGACCATGGACTAGACCTCTGAAACCACAAGCCAAATAAATCTCTCTTCCTTGAAATTGTGAATGTCAGGCACTTCGCCCAAGCAATGAGAAAACTGACCAATATGCTCATGATCTGTAGAAATTCACCAAGGCTCAGAGTGACAATAAGGTAAGCATGCTATATCTACAGCTGAGTAACCCCAACTGTTCCCAGAGGCCACACTTACAACTCAAACCAGAACTTGCTTTCAACACAGAAAGAAAACAATGGTATCTCAAGAAACACAAATGACTAGAGAAACCTATCACGCTCTTTTCCTGTTTTCCTTCCCTGTGCCAGCTGGTCACTTGTGTGAACCAGCACTGGGGAAAGCATTTAAAGTTCACTCTCCTCATGACACTTTGGCCATATGCAGGGAGGTCTGACTGCTGAGGTAAACAACTCTTGATGAATCCTTCTTGTAGGACTGACAGATGCTCAAAAGTCTTAAACCCAATCTATGTCCTATCTGTCATCATACTTCCCCAAGCACTACGGGATACGTTTTCACAAATATCTCATTCCACAGACAAACACTTCTGTGGATGTTAATGTGGAAAGAAATAGAATCCAAAGTCTATCAAAGAGGTTTCTATGTCTACACCATATTGTCATCAAGTTTATTTTTTTAAATTTTATTTTGAAAGTATACACCAGAACAAGACAGAATAAAGCCAATTAAGATCATACAGTGAAATTGGTACAGAACTTCACGGCAGGTTACCGGGATAACAGTAATAGGTATCACAGTATATTTTGTTATCTTTATAATAGTTGTTCTTTCAATCACGTATATAAAATTGAGATGAAATATAGAACACTATAGAACTTATCAAAACAGAATATTGAATAGAGCAGTACCATTAATCAGAAAAGAGCATAACAGTAATAAAAATATTTGCCTTCAAAGAGATGGTAGAAGGAAGCCCCCTTACTTGCTATGGTCAACCTCCCAGGAGACGCTCAGATTTCTGGTTCCCATTTGCTAATGGGCGGGGGGGGGGGAGAGCAGGGGAAGTGGGATATTTGACTCTAGGCTGTGCATCAGTAGGTTCACTATTGCTTAGCAGGGAGGCAGGCTGGTTGTTTGGTTTCACAGCCTCCTAAGTTCCAACATGGTATGGATTTCAGGAGCTGCTGCTGGTTCTCCCCCCTGGAGGGACCGGCAGTCTGCTTGCTTTGCTTCCCAGGGTCCTAAGTTCCAACATGGTGTGGATCTCAGGAGACACTGCTGGTTCTCCCCCTAGAAGAGCTGCAGTCTGCCACACTGCCACCGATTACCAGGGAGGGGAGGTGCTTGCTTGGCTTCCCAGCGTCCTAAGTTCCAACATGGCGGGGATCTCAGGAGCTGCTTCTGGTTCTCCCCCTGGAAGGGCCGCTGTCTGGTCATCAAGTTTCATATTTAGTAAAATAAGTGCTTCTTTGCCTCTCACACATGACTGGTGCCCTTACAACAAATATGACATAGAGACACAAACCAGACTGAAAAGATACTTAGCTTTTACCATTCAGCAAATTTTTATTTATTTATTTATTTTTATTTTTTTGGTGCCAGGGATTGAACTCATGATCTCGTGCTCGCCATGCAAGGCACTTACAACACTGAGCTAAATCCCGGGCCCCTCATTCAGCAAATATTTAGAGTCCCTATTCTGGACTCTGGTACTATATAAGATATGATCAAAATATATGGTGAATGCTATATGAGCATCTTCCTTTATAAATGTCTGATCACGAGGTGTGACTACCACAGATGTTGCTACCACATGGCATCCACTGGAAAGGCAGCTCACAGAAACCATCCACCTTGTTCACTGGATCTGGCACCATGTAACCTTTAGCATTTCACAAGTCAAAAGGAGCATAAAAGGTGAATGTTTTGAACTGACTCAGGGCATTACCACAACCATAACAGCATAACTAATGACACAAAAGAAAACTTCCAGAACTGCTTCAGAAAGTGGCAGGAATGATGAGATAAGTGTGTTCAAAGTGAGGAGAGCATTTTGAGGAGGATTAATGGCGATGTGTCTTTTACTATAATAAGTTTTAAAAAATGATTTAAACTGCATTTTTTCAGTCACATCATGACTATGAATGAGCCAGAAAATAACTGTTGTGAGGAGCATATGATTCATTGAGGAGGCAGACGATTAACAAGAAGTAGAATAATTACAAATTGTGATAAGTGCTCGGCGCTATGAAGAAAACAGACTCATGAGGTTGAATAATTGGAAAAGAAAGAGCTCTCTGAGTGAGATAAGGCCTGAAGGCTGGAAAGAACTTTGATAGGTTAACCACTAAGGAGGAACATTCCAGAAGGAATCACAAGTTCAAAGACTCAGAGGCAGGAAAGAGTTTCATTGTGTTTGAGGAGCAGAAAGGAGAACAAATTGACCAATGCCGCTACTGTTGCTGCTGCTGCTGCATGACCAGTGATGGGAAAGAAAAATAGAGACAGGTACCAGATCGATGAGTATTCTGCAAGCCACAGAAGACATCTGGGTTAGAAATCTAGCTGCAGCAGGAAACCACTTCATGGTTTTAACCAAGAGAGTGATATGATCTGGTCCCTGAGCAAAAGGAAGCGGGGAAGCTAGTTAGGAGAAGTTAACAGCCATCCAGGAGACATTTGATAGTGGCTTGGACTAGAGTAGAGGCTGTGGATTGGAGAGAACTGGGTGGAACTGAGGTGTGTTTTGAAGAGAGAACTGACAAGCTTTAGAGAATCAGGGGTGACTTCTGAGTTGGGGAAGTGGCAAGTAGATAAGTAGCTGGTAGGCCATTTGCTGGGATGAGGGAGACAGGGGTACAGAGGTGTGGGGTGAGGATGAAGACATCTGCTTTCGACACATTAAGTGAGAGATGCAATTAGTGAGATGTCAGGTAGGTAATTAGATCAAAATGATGGGTTTTAAGGGAGCGGTTAGTCAGGGGAAATAGTGTATAAAGCCATGGTATTAAAAGAGTTCCCTTAGGGTCAGAATAGAGGGAATATGGTGACAGAGATCTCAGTCTGGGGCTCTGATAACTGGAAGATGGAACGAAGAGTCAGCAAAAGAGACTGAATGCCTGAAACTGGGGGAGTAAGACCATGGTAGGCTGTAACCAAAGAAGCCAGGAAAAGACTGTTTCCAAGGACAAGTGGTCATCCGTGGCCAACAACACTAAAACACTAAGTAAGAAAGGGCAAGGACTTGTTCTGTGGGCTTGTCAGCATATATATGACATGGCGACTTCATTTTCTCCATCAGTAAGATAGGTTGCTCTGATGATTATAGATTATAGACCACTGATACCAAAGATATCAATGGTTTGAGTGCAAATCATTTCATTTTTGCAGTTTCATTCTATCACTCGTTCTCAAACTTTATTATTTATTAGACTCTCTTGGAAGGATTGTTGAACTCCAGTTTTCAAAATCTAGGGATGTAGCTCAGTGGTAGAGCACTTGCTTAGCATGTGATTGGCCACAGGCATGAGCCCTAGCACCACCAAAACAAAAACCGAATTCAATAGATCTGAAGTTGGCTCTGAGAATTTGCACTTCTAATAAATTTCCAAGTATTCGTGAGCCCCTACTTGTTGCACTATGAGAAGTTATGATCTTTTCTGGGGGTTATCTTCTTCACTTGCTCTTGAGAATCCCCATGGCAACAGTGAGTCTACAAATACTCCTGATTACTGCTTGCTATTCCAGGCTCCTGAGCTTTACCCTGCAAAACTTAGTCCCCAGCAGCTCTTTGGAGACGACACTCAAACCAAGTTACTTATGCCTTCTGGCTTGTTCCCCAGCCTTGGGCGCCAGCACCTGCCAGCACTGCTAATAATGGAAACACATATCCACTGCTCAGGAGAGCTGAAAACCTGTTACAGCAGTAGTGTCAAGCTTTTGGCTCAAATTCCTGAAGTCCTGAGGGATAAAACTAGTTGACTGACACCTAAACGTCTCTTTTTGTTTGGTTTGGTTTGATTTTCCTAAAGGTCTTCATGTGGGGTTCTGTATGTTTCTCCAGAAATGAAAGGAAATGCACTCCATCTACAGTAAACCCAGTCAGGCCGTCCCACACAGCAAAGACCACTTGTCTGGCATCCAAGTGACACAAACCATTCATTTCATCCATACAGACTCCTCCCTCTTTCTGCCTTCATGCTCAGGACATATCGCGTATACTATTAAATGGGTTCCCCTTTAATGAGCCTCGAATTGAGTCTCATTCAATGGCCCTAGAATCATTTACTCTTGGAGATATGTCCCTTTTGAGAACATGATTATCTTGTCCTAAATGAAACTTTGGCTGAAACTTCCCAGTTCATCAGATGTGTTTATATAGCCTTCAATTTTCATGGCATCAGAGTTTCTGTTCCTTGTCTTGTGGAATGCGCCAATTTCTGCATAAATCTGTGGTTCACAAAGATACAAGGGATTCCACCAAAATCCGCCAACTAGCCCCAAAAGCAAATAGATGCAGTGGCAAAGGCGCACTCTTAAACTCTTTAAGCAGGAGCCCAAGTTCTATCCAGCCAAAATCTCTTGCTAATCCTATAAAAACATGTAGCACACTCATGATATAGTTGTTCAATAGATGATAGTTATTGCCTATTTCTGCCCCCAGAAACCCACCCTTCTTCCCTTATGGCTTTTTCTACCCACTCCAGGGCCAGAGACCTAATCTGAGCCCTGATTTCTTCATACACAAATTACTCTCAAGGACTACCAGATGCCCAGTGATATTTACCAGAGGCCATTGTTTTGGACCCAGCTCCTACAGGTTGTAGGCCCCAGTGAACCACACCAGACTGGAACTGAAAGTCATTTGTGCTGAGTGTTACATAATCAGGTTGAATTTAGAAACAGGCTGTTTTTCAAAAAGACAGCTACCAACTTTCAGATTGACAGCCCAGTCCAGCTGAGATGGCATGATAAGGAAATCCCTTCTCTTTAAACCTCAAAGAAAAGTAACTTTGAAATGACCAATCTGTTTCCTTTTCCATGACTGCTGTTTTCAGCCTTTTGATATATAAAGCCCATCTC